TTGGGGTGCCACACAGTCATTCACACTTTCTTTGTTTAAATCTACCAAGAACTGTGTGTTATGACAGAGCAGACAGGTTTCATCTGGTTTGGGGTTAATGCTTCATATCCTTTTCTATTCAGTACATTGTTCCTTTAACCACTGATTAATATCTTGTTTAAACAGTCCGCAGACACATCACTCTCATGGTGCGTTCATAAATCCTCTGGAGCTGATCAACACAATAGCCCACATTCCTGGCATTTAAAGGAAGTCCCTTATATCACTGCGTCTCCTCTCCACCAGAGACAGAAATTCTCGGAATATGACAGTGGAACAAAAACAACTCTTCACATGCATGTCTGTTTATTTCATTTGGTTTAAAAGGCCCGTATACGTCACAGGTTGTACATGCGGCGTTCTGAATCAGTAACACATCCTCGGAATTCTTGCCGACACCCTGTCTGCCTCCACTTAAATTGTTAGCAATGGATTCTCTTTCATGAAATAACATCACATGAAAGAGTTAGCTTAAATTAGCTAATGTTTTCCTTTTCCAAATTTAGAAAGAACAACAGTCATTAGAAAGAGAGAATAATCAGGGTTAAATCATTTGACTTGTCTCCAGCACTGTCCCTGTATGTGGGATTACCAAACATCCCCTGCTAATTATGGCTTCGTCTGGGCTGAGGTGACATGTTGTATAAATATGACAATGATTTCATGTCCTTAACATTACAGCTCCAGCAGTGATTATTTTTTATATGAACAATTAATCAAATGATTGCATGTAATGTGTTGGAGGTCTCTTGGAGTGATGAACAAACTGGTATAGTCCTGCTCTGTAGCTCTACAGCTGTTTTTTTTGACTGAAACAAACAAAGACGTAAACAATATCCACCAACAGCAAACAGCATCGGTGGGCAACCAGGAAATGAAATGCAACACGTAAAAGAGAGAGTGTTGTAAGTATGACTGGAGCAAGAGAAGAAGTCAAGTGATGGTATGATGATGGTAAGAAACGGTGAAAGAAGACAAGTGGATAAAGCTTCCGTAGCCTTGTCTTGAGTTTCTTTAATGCCTAGACATAACGAAACTTTATCCATAATGCTGTCAGATTTTCACCAGTAATTTAGGACATTTTTAAAGGGCAAAGATAAGCGATGTGTCCCTGTAAATAGGAGCATCAGATTAGGAAATGCGTCAAATGATTTGGCCACCTACCCTGACTTAAAACAGAGCTACATTCAGCTGCTGAATGTTGCACTGCATCTGTTGGATATCCAGTTAGTAAGTTGCCAACATGTTAAGTATCACAGTGTTTTAAGGTGATATAACATCAGCCAACTTATTTAACTCAAGTGTCAACCTCTGGAGCTGCAGTTCCTCAATTGTCCACTTGGGGCTGGCTCCGAAAAAAAAAGTCAATCTCCGTAGACCTGCATGTTAAAATGTCCAACTTCACAGCAGAAATGAACTTGTTTACAGCCTGGTACAAAAAATGGTTCAGGTCTCTAAAGCTTATTTCCATGTTCATGAAAACTGCACATGGGATGGAATTGTTTATACCCCAGCCATTTAAATTGCATTAAGGAAAAAAGTTTAAATTACACAAATTAAGGGTGTGGTAGCTTCTAGTTGGTGGGCATGGTCATAGGCCAGTCCATGGCCCAGAGATTTTTGCTTGGCCTGGCTCATGCTCCACTTCTTTGCCCATTATTGGACAAGCAGGGAGTTTGTAGGAGAAAGGCACTACCAAGATGGCACCAGCCAAAGCTGCCACACGATGCTTCAAAACTGCTGTTCAGGAAACTTATGGGTGAAGGTCCGTCTTTATACACAGTTAACCCCAACATTTAAGGTTTCAAAATGTTTCCTTTACCTTTTGTAGGCATAACACAGCCATTATAGTACTTCTATATTGTTATCATAACTGCATGGTACTCTCCATATTCTGATTTGGAAATCACAAATTGAATTTGTTATCATTATAACACACTGTTTGCTTGCGCTCATGTCTGGATGATCAGTATCATGTTCACCGCAGACATCAAGATGAAGCAACTTCACGAATGCACTTCATCCTTTTATATCGTTCTGTGGACTGAATGTGTGTTACAGTGCATCTTGAATTTTCAGCTGTAAACTCGCTGCCCTTTTACCCAAGGTCTACGCCCATTCAAGCCCAAATCCTTGGGTGTTGGCCTATACAACAATAGAAAACAGTGGCATTGCCTGCCCTTCCTCACGTAGCCTCATAGGATGGGAGACGATATTCATGGGATGGGTGAGATCATTCACGGCACCCAAAAACCAGTCAACACCCTACATTTTCTTTATTTTATATTGGCCAGTCAGCCTTTCTTGAGACTCTCTTTAATGCGCAAGGAGAATCTCTACTTTGATTTTATCATTCGATTCCGAAGCTGCATTTTGCAGACACACACACACATTTTATCTGTTTTATCTGTTTTATCTTGTATTTATCCAAAGCTCCCTTGTATACTCTCCTGTCTGACAAAGAACATCTCACTCATCACTCACAATCTCTGATCAGAGTCAAGGTGTGGTTTGATCCATGAACCAGGCTGCCATGTGTGATTGAGTTTCACAGGAGTCTCATGGGTACCGGGCAGACTCTTTTCCTTATGGCTACACAATTTAAACGCCCACCCATTACAGACATCCATCCTTCTCGGAAATGAACTCCTCGCTAACAGACATGGTTTGAGGTTACACCTCAGCTCCACCAACAATACTACTTTGATCTCCTCAGGCGTTTCACAGTGCTATACATTGTGTGACTTAATCTATTGTGCCTCCCCTGAGCTTGTACCAACCGCATAGCTGTGCAGTGTGAAGGATTGTGTGTGTGTGTGTGTGGAGGAGGGATTGTGATCAGAGGCAGGTTGTGTGTCTGACTTTTTACTTTCTGCTGAAGAAATAAAATGCTTCTAGCAGTAGGACCCAGAGGATATGTGTGGGGGGGATGAACCAGCACACCTTTATGTTGTCTGAGGCAGGGCAGAGATGTAAAAAAAAAAAGTTGTTCAATACTGTAACAAGAAAAAAAAGTTGAGCTATGAGCCACGTCATTGGCTAAGAAGAGGCTGACAGGAAAATGCAATGGCTCTTGAGGTCAGGGCAGAGTCTGCTATATATGTATTGCAATTGACAACACCTTGCCGGACTCTGCTACAGCGCTTGCGTGGTCGACTGTCATCAGGCGTCTCTACAGGGACAACATGAGCGCTTCTGTGGCCGTGTACAGGAATATCTACACGGAGGACCGCTTCAAGCAGACGTACGGCTCTGATGATGACACCGGTGGAAGTTTGCGGCTCCGGCAGAAGCTGGCGGAGAGATGCAGGTGTTCGAGGCGCAGCTGCCTTCACCTGTTGAGGGAGAGAGTTCCCATTTCCAGCTGGCTGCCGAGGTACAGGCTGAAGAAATGGATTTTAGGAGACACCGTAGCAGGACTGACCGTCGGTATTCTGCACATTCCACAAGGTGAGGAAACACTGATTACAACAATAGCAACAACAAAAATAGCAATAATAACAATAATAATAACAACAATAATAATATGTAAAACTACCATTATAATTATGATTTATTAATTATTATAATAATGATGTTTTGAATTGAATTGACAAGTATCCCAAGTTCTTGACAAGTGTTAACATTTTTCACATTTACATTGTCATAGTGGAGAATTTTTAATTTTATTTTTTATGTATGTTCCAACCTTAGTGTGAAAAAGTTTCAGATTTTATGTTATTTTATAAATTGTTAAAAACAAAAAACAAACAAACAAAAAAACACAGGGTTATTAATTAACTTTTTTTCCCCTAAACAGGCATGGCCTTTGCTTTACTCACATCCGTGGCCCCAATTTTTGGCCTTTACACCTCCTTCTTCCCAGTTGTCCTCTATATGTTTTTCGGCACCGGTCGCCATGTGTCCACAGGTAAGACTGGAGTCCACATAGCATGATGTAGAAAAGCAAACATCATTTTCAACGTTTTGTCCTAAACACAGTATTGTAAGCACTTAAATTGCTTAATATCCTGAAACCAGATTTAAATCGGAGTCAGTTATCATGTTTTCCAGTGTTGCTGAAATGACTTAGTGGCCTTTTCTCAGGTACATTTGCTGTAGTGAGTCTGATGACCGGCTCTGTGGTGGAGCAGCTGGTTCCCACTCCTCTGGAGATGAACTCAAGTTCGTCAGAAGCGGCTGACTTTGAGGCCCAGAGGATTGGAGTGGCCTCAGCTGTAGCACTTCTCTCAGGAATTATTATGGTAAGACAAAGTTTAAGAAAGTCACAAAGTGGAAAAAAAAAATGCTGCCAGTGAGGTGGCAGGTTTCTCTGTGTGAGCAGCGTTCTTGATTTCCTGACACTCATAATGTTCATCTTATTCGTATCCAGCTCTGCATGTTTGGTCTTCAGCTGGGCTTCCTCTCCACCTATCTGTCAGAGCCAATTGTTAAGGCTTTCACCAGTGCTGCTGCCTTCCATGTCACCGTCTCACAGCTGCAAAGCATTCTGGGCCTGCGACTCCCTCGCCACACCGGGACCTTCTCCCTCTTTAAGGTTAGCAGAGCTTTATGATGAGATTTGATTTGATTTCACTTTATCGACATGCATTTCTCTGCAATTTGTGTTACATCTCAAGACATACACTGTTTCACCAAAAGGACAAAGATGTAATGAGTAGAATACAAGGTCACAGTACATCAATTTAATCACTCCCTTCAGTGACTAGTCCACACAGGAACAACACAGGAACCCAAACATTGATTTAATAGTTTGATAGACCAAGGAACAAAAGAGTCTGTTTTTAACTCTAAATGTTGTTGTCATAGCAGAGAGCCTGTAGTCTACTCACTAATTCATGTGCTTAGACTTTAGCATCAGTGATGGAGAACCTGCCTCACACCAACATTGCAGAGCTGCTGATCTCTTTGGTGTGTTTGGCCGTCCTGGTCCCAGTCAAGGAGATCAACATGCGTTACCGGCACCGCCTGCGTACACCGATCCCCGTGGAGATCCTCACGGTCAGTCAGCTGGCTTTAGGAATGCTAAAGGTATATTTAATATTTACAATGGAATCAACATGAGTTATAAAAGATGGTTTTACGCTTCACTCCTCAGGTGATTATCGCTACAGGTGTGGCCTATGCCTTCTCGCTGGACTCCACTTACAGCATTGAGATAGTTGGCCACATCCCTGCTGGGTAATCTTTTCATTTGGATTGAAAAAAAAACACACAGATTAGCTCAGTAGCTACAAGTGGTGTGACTAATTTTTTCCACATTTTTTTTATTCTCAGATTCCCAAAGCCACGGATGCCCGCCTTTCACACTTTCCCTGACATTGCTGGAGACACGATAGCCATAACATTTGTTGGTTATGCTGTGTCTGTCTCGCTGGCAATGATTTATGCTGATAAACATGGATATTCTATACATCCAAACCAGGTAAAATCCAGGAATGTCTTCTTGCTAAAATGTCACATTGGTTTCTTAAAAAAAAATGTTAACCCTTTAACCTGTGTTTGATTTCAGGAGCTGCTGGCTCACGGTATCTCCAACACAGTATCCTCTTTTTTTACCTGCTTCCCCAGTTCAGCCACTCTGGCCACCACTAATATACTGGAGAGCGCAGGAGGATACACACAGGTAATGTGCGTCTATACATCTTCACTGATTACACCTTTACCTTGCTACAGATGTAAACAGAGGGGTCGCACCAGGGAATATAAATGAATCACTAACAACTCATTTAATTGTTTAATTAAAAGAAATATAAACAAAGACATACAGAAAATCGGATTTTACATCTAGCACACATGTGATCTTTGTTTAGTTGAATATGTGACTGTATTTGTGTTTGTTCCTGCAGCTCTCTGGCTTGTTCACTAGTCTGGTTGTCCTGGTTGTCCTGCTGCTGATCGGACCACTGTTCTACTTCCTACCCAAGGTGTGGACATATGTGTGTGTTTGTGTCTGTACAAGCCAAAGTTAAAGAGAGAGGGCAAGTTCACTCACCTCATCTTTTGTCTCTCTCCTCAGGCAGTCCTGGCATGCATCAATGTTACCAGCCTGAGGCAGATGTTCTTGCAGTTCCAAGACTTACCCGAGCTGTGGAGAATCAGCAAGATTGACTTTGTAAGGTCATTTTAATAGCAGTACGACATACAAGAGTGTGGTCTTAAACATTAGAAAATTAAGTTAATTTGTTTTGCAGTTTAGGTAGAAAAGTGCCGTCTGGTCAGCTACAGCCGCCTGCTGACAAATTGATGCATGTATCTTCAAACAATAACCGTGGTGTCTCAGTCGCAAGGTTGTTTGAAATAAACACTCTTTCAGCCAAGAGGTATTAATCATGTTTATGGAATCATGGGCTCGTGAAACCCAGTGAACACATCAGATAAATCGCCTTGATCTTTGCACTTTCAGGCTGATCGCTTGGCAAGAATGAATCCTATCTTACACTGGCATGCTTCCATTTTTTAATCGTTGCATTTTGAAATACCAAAGCGCTGTTGTGTCTGTGTCTCTGTGTAGATGGTTTGGCTTGTAACCTGGCTGTCTGTGGTGGTGCTCAACGTGGACCTTGGCCTAGCTATCGGGGTGATTTTCTCTATGATGACTGTCATCTGTCGCACACAAAGGTACGTTTTGCTTTCTGTATAAATACTGTTGACATCCAGAACAAGCAGCTCGTGGCAACATTTCAATTAGAAGAAATACCATTTACATCTGGGAGGTTAAACAAGAACTGAAATGTGCACAAATATTCACACTCACAAGCAGCAGAAGTCACCCTTCAGTCATTTTGGTATAAAAACCAGGGACAATCTTCTAGGCAGGACATTTACAGTAGATCATGTGTCATAATGTGTGACGTTATTCTTAAACTGATGATTCCACAGGGCTGGCTGTTCAGTACTTGGTCGGGCCAGCAACACAGAAATTTACAGACCTCTGGAGAACCACAACAAGGTGAGCAAATTGTCTGGTTAGGTCACTTGCAATATATATATATGTTTTTATTCCAGCGACAATTAATAATTATAATCACAGGGATGATGCAGCAGCAGTGTCTTACCATAAAGATGAGACTGTTCGATTTTCTTTTTCAGTGCTACGAAGTGCCAGGAGTGAAGATCCTGACTTACAACGGGCCTATTTACTACGGTAACCGTAGTTTCTTCAGGGAGGAAATGAGCAGGCTGTTGGGCCTGACGCCAGAGAAGATTCGCAGCCGGGAGAAGGCCAGGAAAGCCCTGGAGAAACGGGAGAGAGAGGCCACCGTCAACACTGTGGTAGGTACAGATTTTAGAGCAAAACCTATGTGTGTAAAAAAAAAAACCTTTGTAAAATCCTATTTAAACTAAGTGTCCCTCTATTCTGTAGGAAAGAGGCATCGCAAACACATCGTTTTCCTCAGAAAATGAGTTCTTTAAATCAGGTAAGTTATGCCTTTTATAGTGGCCTGTGGTGAAGGCTGCTAAACATGCATGCTGTGCTGTTTTCTGAGCACTAGGATTTTTTTTTTTGTGTAGATTTTCCTGTGTTGCAAATAATTTAAAGATTGCTTTTATCTTCAGAAACATCTGAGAGTGACGTCCAGGTAGTGCTGATCGATTGCAGCAGTGTGATATTTGTTGATGTTGCTGGGGCAAGACTCTTCACGCAGGTTAGTCAGCAACACGAGTTCCATGTCATCGCAGTGGTTTTCTCCCTCATTGTTTCGAAATGATTGACTATTCCGGGCTTTTTTTGCAGATGTGCACCGAGTGCCAGAAAGTTGGAGTTCATGTATATTTGGCAAACTGCAATGGTAAGACCTTTTCTTATGTTTATTTTTGTTTTATTCTGTGTATTTTATGCAGAAGTTTTATCTTTTTTTTTGAAAGTTAATATACACTAACTGCTACTACTGTTTTCCCTCCCTTCAGAAAGTGTCTTAAAGATCCTAACATCCAGCGGTTTGATGAACTACATGAACCCTCAGCATATCTTCGTCACAGTTCATGATGCTGTGATGTATATTCAACAGCAGAAGGTAGAGATTAGACTCTTTTCACAATTATACAAGAGAGTTTTAAAAAAAGAGGTTGCTAATTTCATACTGCTATCGTCTGTTGTAGGAAAAACCTCCAGAGAACACCACAACAGTTTGGGTGTGAGCCAGGAGGACAGTGATGAGTCATGCTCGCCTCGACCGAGTATCTGGGACTAAAATGTCAGAGTGCACGAGGACTTGGGTTTTATTGGCTACGTCTCTCAGCTGCATAGGAGCACTCCAGTAATCTGTCCAGATTGTACTGTAAACCAGTGTTTCAAAGAAGCAGTAGCCTGTTGTAGCACTAAGTCATAAATTACTTTTACATTACAGTGTTACCAGATCTTTTGCAGACATTGGAGAATCGAAATCAGCTGGGTTTAAATCAAGCAGAAGGAGCCACACCGCAACAAATAAATCTGGTCATACAGTGTATTTAGACGAGTCTGAAAAACAATATAATTACTTGTGTCTATTAAACTGTTTATGGCAGATATGAAATGTTCTTGTTTAACAGCTGTTCTGTTTTTTTTTTAATTGTCATATATGATGTATTTTGTAATATTTATTTAGTTTGGTGTTTGCAATACAAACAAATATTGAAGTGCACTGCGTAGTTTGTAAAATACTTTATATATTTATATCTTTTGAAATCTGTGCTTTGAAATATGCAACCGTGTACAGCAAATGCCATTACATACTGACTTTATTCTCTTTTCTAACTCCAGAGAGACTGAACAAAAGATTTTATGAATGACCTTTGTACAGTCATTCAGTGTCTGTTTTGACAATAAATATATCTCCAAAAACGGAACATGGATTGTGTTTTTGTTCCCCCCTCATTAAAACTACAATTAATAAATGTTTTTAGAGAAAGCTAATGTTTCTACATTAATGTTTGGGCTACCATGGTTAAGTGTGAATACATTTTGGGTGGGAAGCACAGTGTGGAATGTGAAGCATGCCACAGATTTTGAAGAGGGAAGAAGAGCAGTCTTTGTATTGGGTCGGGTACTGTAGATGTGGATGTCTGCACGGAGAAATTATTAAAAATGAAAAAAATATGCTTGGATTCACAATGACAAAGGGATTTTTTTCAAAAAGTAAAGCCGGATGAGGGAGATCACAGGTCATCAGCAGTGTAACCTACTGTTTTTTTTTCAACATCCAACACTGGAAATAGATTAGCTTACTTTTGATCATTTTCTACTTTCTAAGAAAAAGGTGATCCGTTTTATAAAACACGTCTGACAAAAACCCTCTGTTCTAATGTCTCACCTCGCTGCCCTGCTGCCCTCTGCTGTCCAACGGCTAAAAGCTATGACTGCTCCTCATCACAATCCTGTTACCTTGACCTGATAAAACTATATGTAGTGCAAGTTCAAAACCAGGACAAAAAAAAAGGCAAAAAAAAAAAAAAACTAATTATTTCCTTGCTTGATGTTGGATAGCCAAGTTATTAATTTTTTCTTGTGCATATTTCAAAGAGGCCTCTAGACACTGTACCCTTTGGGCTTTCCCTTTAAAGCTCAAGGAGTGTTTCACTAATTGGCAGGAAGTAGTCCACTTCAATTAGAACATGGTACACAAGGCTCTGGCCAAATGTTTACTAAGCCAGATTCTACCGTCAGGCCTACTAACGTGCACACATGTACGGGCACATACTGAGAAAGTAACCCTACAAACTCCTCAGGGAAGGTCAGTGATTTAACAATAACGCTCTGATTTACCTGTGGAAAGGTGCTTACAGGTAATACTGCAAAAATGAGAAGACTGTACACAGCTTGTGCTTACAGTTATGTCAGTTAAATTGTCTAATAAAGGAAATTAAGTAATTCTCTTTTCTCTACTCAGTTACCGTTGGCTTTTTCCCATAAAGGAACAATAGATCATAGTAGAAGGATATCTACAAACGCATATAACACTAAGTAATCCCATGTTTCTGTTCTTATTAATTTGTTTGTACAGAAACAGCAAGAATTAAAATGTAGCAACAAAAAAAAAAAAACATACATTTTTGGTACTTCCTGGCAATGCAGAGCACCTTTCAACCTGTGTGGCATTTTTGTCTGATCTTTCATTTCCATCTTGTGGTGAACAGCTGGAATGACAATCTGTTTCCTTACTCTGCATGAAGGATCACATGACTCTCCAAAGAGTCAGCTGCCACCACAGTAACAAAAGCTTGCACAGGCAATTTATTAATCGTATTAATCCCGGTTGAAACCAAACACAAATTACACCTTTACAGATACATGAATGCCCAGAGGAGATACTTAGATTCATAAAAGTACTACTTCAACAATAGCAGAAGCAGTCTAAGTATCCTATGGATGCATCCAGAGCTGCTGCTGCATCGAAAGACATGTTGATAATTTTTTTGTCTAATATTCAAAACCTTGTCAGTGAAGAAGGACATTAAGTCTTCACTGCTGACAGCTAAAGGGACACAAGGCTCCACAGAGCTGTGACTCTTTGGCAGCCTGGCTACAGTGCTAAAAAGAAACCTGGGGTTGTTCTTGTTCTCCTCAATAAGGGGTAGAATAGTAAGCAGTTCTCGTCTTGCGGATCACTTTTTTTTTTTATAGGCGATGAAACTATCTTTCCAGGCTAACTGAGATTCATCTGAATTTGTCATGCGCCACTGTCTTTCCAGTTAATGATGCCTCTATATTTAACAAACCACTTGTCACCAAGCTGTGGACTTAACCCAGACAACCAAACACACACACAAGTAGTTAGTATTCATATCAAAGCGATGAGACGATACCAGCTGAAGATTATTTTTAGTGAGGAATGACTTCTCAGCATAGTTGAGGCAATGACTAATTTGCCAGCATGATAACAAGAGGATGAACTTTCATTGCCTCACATTCACACATAGACAATTATATGTCCATCACACACACACACACACACACACACACACACACACAACACAAAGAGAAGTCATGAGACAAAATTGTGATCTAAACACTAAACATCGTTGCTTAACACCAACAGAAGACGGGAAAAATCAAGTCAAACAGAACAACTACATTTGTTGGGACACTGTCAGATGTTTAGCTACGTATGTGTCATTTGTATTTAAAAAAAAAAAAAAAAGTCTGCAGCCAGTATTTTGTTTTTGGAAAAAAAAACCCCAACAACTTAAAATACAATCTCATCTGTCATTAAACACATCAGGTTCTAAATTACAGAAATGAACATCAACTTAAAAAAAAGTATCTAATACAGTAAAATCTCTTTTTTTGCTACCAAATCCAACTGAAAAAATTACATCAGTGTGCAATTTATTTATTTATTCCCCCCTCTCTCAATGCACGTACCTCAAACTTTGCAGCTGAACAGTTTACTCTACATCGTGGGAAGGAAAAAAGCTTAATTTAAGGACTAACGCTAAAAAAAGCTCCCCAGATGTAAACAGCCTGTGGATGCAAAAGGCTCCTAAGATTTGGAGAAGGCATGCTTCCTAAAGGAGAGTAATGAGTAGCATGATCCATTTCATCCAACAAATCTCAGTAATGACGTTTTATCAACATTTTATCGCGACACTGTCAAAACAGGGTGAAGTGATGAGGCACTACTGCCTCATGTTAGGTTAATTGGTGATTCTAAATTGGCCTTATATATGAATGTAAGCACAAATGGGTTTCTGTCTGTGAAGGCTGTACTTTGTCACATCAGCTGAAAGGAAAAGAAACTTGGAAAGAGTAACCGCGGAGACACGACCATAAACTCTTACAGGGTCTGCATAACTGTTGGGAGTCAAAAACGTTCTTGATCATTGCTGCGGACAAACTGGAATCCGGGAGTCACAACAAAAATTTGGCATTTTTGGTTGTGAAAAGAATGTTTTCTATCATGACATCCTCTCTCTAGTTCTGTCTCACATCTACTTGGCTCTTTCAGGTCTTTCTCTTTCTGGAGTGTTACAAAGGACATCAAAACCTGCACGTGGACAGGAAGAGGCCAAAGGACATAAAAAGTCTATCAAAGGAGACTCTGAGCAGCCTTGATGCCATTCACATGGCCTTCGCTTTTGATTGCTTTGTTTTCTTCTTTGTTTTTTTTAGGTCTCCCACCCACACTCGCTCATCCACTCATTCTTTGCACCACTGATGCCTGAAATTACCAAACATAATTATGAGTTCGTCTGTGGACAAACATGTTGCAACTCCTGAGCCTGAGGTTTGTAACATGATCCCACAGGAAGTTTTGGAAACCAAACTACTGTGCAATAAAAATGGCAAACAGGGCTGTTGACTATACTGAGTGCAGAAAAGCTGACTGACAACTCAGCTTAGATTCTAACATGCACTGAATTCCCCTCAAACAGGTCAATAGTGTTTATGAAAGCATATAATTGTGGACTTCTCAACTCACAACAGCATTTTAATTGTTCAGGCAGTAAAAAAACAACAACAACAACAACAAAAAACTGTAAAAAAATAAAATAACAATACAAGATTTTGCGTTCTTCATTTATCGGGAAACAAAAATTATTTGTTGCTCTTACATTAGACAAGTGTGTCATTGACTGGTCATGCACTTGAACCTGTTCTTGAAGTAGTAGACTTCGTTATGCATGTTCGTGTTCGCACTGGAAGACAAGTAGCGGAATTTTTCATAGGCCTTTTGTGACTCTGTTTTACTCCAGGGCAGTTGAATCTTTGATGCGTGGTTTACAATGACGTCGCCACAGGAGCCAACGTGGAGGGAGCCCAGAGCGTCGATGAAGAACTCTACAGAATCAGAGGAAAATGTATTTTAGCACAGGTCTTGTTTGCTTTTCGTTCTGAATCAACTCAACAGTGTAACCCCAGCTCAATGCAGGAAATCAATACCAACCCAGATGCGCTTGTCGTGACAGCCGGGGGTCGAAGCCAACCTGCCGCACTTTGTCCGTCTGCCCCATGAAGAAGTTGATGACGGCATCGGCCACCACGCAGTTGGGAAATCCGTCGATGGCGTGGTGGTTGCCATTTCTGATATGCAAACAGTCGCCCTCTTCTCCTCCTGCTTCCACTGAAATGGTGTGACAGTACGTTACAGTGTAACCCGTCACCTCTCTCACCGCGCCGCCGACCTGGTGTCACAAAGGCAACAAAAACATACAGCAAATACATTTATGAACATAAGAGTGTGTATATCCATGGAGGCAGACAAACAACTAAAGACATTTCTCACACAGAGGGGTTACTGCTCAGCCACAGCATTTTAATCTCACAACTCCTGTTCTGACATACTTATGTGGTTTGACTCACTCTGTAACCTCAAGACATCAAATGACAGAGCATGCATGCACTACAGCCCACAGTTGCAGGATACATGATAAAAACAGAGCCACCTAACAGAAAATACTGATGAATGATTGAGTACTGTGTGAAGCTGCAGCATTCACTCCTACTTCTCTTTTTGACTCTATAATCTGACAAATAATAGCTACATAATATCAAACTACAACAACAAAAAAATATCAGTCCGCAATAAATCTTGATTGAAATAGTTCAGATGGCTTACTGATAAAAACATATAGAAACTGGATTCCAGCGCAACCTTGGTCACCTTTGTTCTGAGTTTCGACTTAAGGTCGCTCAAAAATGTATTGCAGCATTGATCACTGGAAGCCGTGTAAGGAATCAACAGAATGCTAAGATGAATATTTTACTTGTAGACAGTAAAGTAAAGCCAAGAGTGAGGAGATATGAAGGGAAATTGCTGGGGAGATTTGCTGCTGATGCTATCAGCACCGCACCGGTAATGAGGACCTCTGTTTAAGGAAAATAAATTGTACAGTGACATTCGATTGCCTTCTGTTTCTGTGACTATGTTGTGTGGTCAGAGCTGATGTGTTCAGAATGTATTCATGCTATTAATTTATTTAGACACATGCGTGCTCCTTGGCCTCATTTAGGTGGCTCAGCAAGGAGGGAGCAAAGAGGAAGGAGCTGAATACTTCTGTTTGATACAATGAGTTCAGCGTATACATGTCACATGCATCTCACCAGATCCAGAGTGGTTTTCTCTAGTATGTCCACCATCTTCTCCAACTTGGTGTTTGCAGTGAAGATGAAATCATCATCCACCCAGAGCACATACTTGGTGGTCACTTGAGACACTGCCAGGTTTCTTCCTGCAAACCAACCCTGCATAAAAGAGGAATCAACGTACACTAACTATTTAATAACTACAATGCAGAACGCTACATAGAGAGACATCAACTTCTTTACCTTTCCATATGGCATGATATAATGTTCAATATGAGGGCCGGTCACAGGCTGAGGGTGCTCGTTGTCATCTGCTATCACTATGGTGACGTTGGGATAATACTGTCGTATGCTGTCGATGAGGTCTTTGAGCTTGTCGTAGCGAAGGAAGGTCTTGGTGGCAATAGTGACAAGAGCACTAATGTTGTACTCTAAGTGGAAACAGAAAAATAAATCATACGGAGATGTGATTTTGAAATCATGTACAGTATGTATACAGTATATCTCTTCATGGGACAACACTGAAGAAAAGACACTTTGCTACAGTCTAAAGCAGTCAGTGTACAGTTTGTGTAACAGTGTTCCCTCAAAATAGACAGCCATTAATGTCTAAACCACTGGCAACAAAAGTGAGTACACCCTTAAGTGAAAATGTCCAAACTGGTCCCAATAAGCCATTTTCCCTCCCCCCTGTCATGTGACCCGTTAGCGTTACAAGGTCTCAGGTGTGAATGGGGAGCAGGCGTGTTAAATTTGGTGTTATCGCTCTCACACTCTCTCATACTGATCACTGGAAGTTTAACATGGCACCTCATGGCAAAGAACTCTCTGAGGATCTGAAAAAAGAACTGTTGCACTACATAAAGATGGCCTAGACTATAAGAAGATTGCCAACATCCTGAAACTGAGCAGCAGCACGGCGGTCAAGACCATACAGCGGTTTAACAGCACAGGTTCCACTCAGAAGGTTGTCTTTGGAAAATAGATGTATAAGTGCTGCCAGCATTGCTCCAGAGGTTGAAGGGGTGGGGGGTTGGTGTGTCAGTGCTCAGACCATACGCCGCACACTGCATCAAATTGGCCTGCGTGTCTGTCATCCCAGAAGGAAGACTCTTCTAAAGATGATGCACAAGAAAGCCCACAAACAGTTTGCTAAGGACAAGCAGACTAAGGACATGGATTACTGGAACCATGTCTTGTGGTCTGATGAGTCCAAAATAAACGTATTTGGTTCAGATGGTGTCGAGTGTGTGTGGCGGAAACCAGATGAGGAGTACAAAGACAAGTGTGTCTTGCCTACAGTCAAACATGGTGGTGGGAGTGTCATGATCTGGGGCTGCATGAGTGCTGCCAGTGTAATGGAAAAATATTGCATCTGCATGAACAATGTTAAAGCAAGTTTCTCTAAGTTTCTCTAAGTTTTATTAAAGCTGAGTGGAAAGGTTACAGGCCCAAAATGTGTTCCCATAACATCTAGGTAAACACTAGTGGCTATACATGGGAAGAAGAAGTTGTGCATCCCATGTGTTTAGACTATTGATGCCTGATCCACCGTGTTTAGTCTTCTAAATGTCTGTGGATGAGTAGACCCTGTACACCCAGCTGTTGTTTTCCAGCATGAGATTGTTATACTACCGTTGAAGTAAAGACCACGCCTGTACATGTATAAGAATACTATGCTGCCTGCATTCATGTGTACTCTCCTGCAGACTGATTGCATTCTGTATGACCTGTACCTTCAAAGCTTTGAATAAAACAAGACAAAGACAACTCGGACCACTGGACTTTATGTGGATCATAGAAAATTTCCTCAACACCGGCACCGGACAACTACAGTTCATTGAGGGAAACCATGAATGCCAACACGTACTGTGACATCCTGAAGCAGAGTATGATCCCCTCCCTTCAGACACTGGGCCACCGGGCAGTATTCCACATGATAACAACCCCAAACACACCTTCAAGGCAACCACTGCCTTGCTAAAGAAGTTGAGGGTGAACGTGATAGACTGGCCAAGCATATCTCCAGACCTAAAACCTATTGAGCATCTGTGGGGCATCCTCAAACGGAAGGTGGAGGAGCACAAAGTCTCTAACATCCACCAGCTCCGTGATGTCGTCATGAAGAAGTACATTGCAGCAAAGTATATATATATGTGTGTGTGTGTAAATATATAAAGATGATACACAATAACAAACCTTCCTGGTATCCAGAGTTGTAAAGCTTCGGAATGATTGGATGCCCAACTTTGATGATGAAAAATGACCGTTGACTTTTGGTTGCAAACCGAACTGCAGAATGAAACAAAACAGTGACAAATCCAAGTCAGAGGTGATGAAGTAAGTGCATATTATCATGAAGATACGATTTTCATGGTAAGCTGTATTTGCACAGGCAAGTACAACTTTTTTTTTTAAATTTTTTTTAGATGCACTGGAAACAAGTTTCACAGGGAGAGACTAACATTTAAATGACTTCTTCTCCATGTTCAGAGAACGACCTTTCATGAATCTGTTGCAATTTTTATTGCACACTTGTTCCACTTATTTGGTCTTTTCATCATAATTAGAACAGAATAGGAATAAAAAAATGTCAGATATTGAAATCTGGGATATAAATATGTATAGGCATTACAACAGAGGACATTTTGCTTTTGCTGTCAAATGATGAGCAAAATATTACTATGTGACATGCAGGAACATAAACATAAACATAAACATAAACATAAACATATATATATGTATGTATATAACTAAACTGAACTGACCAGCAGGTAATGCTCATATCATATTGAGTACCTGTATTGTGGTTCTGATGATGTGGCTTCAAATGAACAAGTTTGCTTCTTTCTAAGCAGGCAGGAGCCAGACAGGTACACCCAGAGGTAGTTATCTAGCTCATGGCCAAATCTGTGGTGTTGGTTAACTGTCAGGCAGTGAGGCCAGAACTAAACTTGCTTCCTGGTCCAGGCTTTGACAGACTGCGTGAGTATTCCCACACCACCCAGCCTGGATATGTCCTAAGTGACAAATCTTCCTTTTGACAGGCAACAGATTATCAGCCATTAACTTTGCACTTCAACCTAAAACTTTACTTTTGCTTAGAGATAATGTTTTGCACTGTAAGAGCAGTCAAACCTAACCTTGCTTCACTTTGGTCTCTTTAGGTAGTTATTTTTTATTACTCATTGACCATCTCATGATAGTTATGAGGTCGTATCTGAACACCATTTCCATATGTTTAGATTCAGCCTGTATTAATACTTGCGTAACTCATTTTCAATAATGCCTATTCTATTATTAAAAATACGTCTAAAATAATTTTTATTTTACTACTGAGGGTCTACTCTACACCATCAAATGTATGCACATGACATTCTCGTTTTAGTATCCACATGATAACTTTACTTGTATCTGCTGTCTTCGGGTGGAACACAGTGTTTGTATAGGTGACGAACTCCAGCTGCCTGTTCAGGTCAGGGAGACGAGGACTCGACAGCATCATCTGCTTCTCTCCCTCTCCTGTGATGGAGACCCCGTCCACCGTCGCAGCAACATCAAAAATCCCCAGAGTTGCTGTCAAATATACCTTTTCGATCATTTTCAGAGTTTTTTGGGGGAAGAAAAAAATAAACTTTAACATTTGGACAAAAAAAAAAAGGGGGGGGAAAAGTCAACCACAATGAAAACCTCAAAATGAAGAAATTACTGTATGGACTGATCTTGCTTCTTCTTTCAGACCCAAACCTATGGAAAGAGAGCAGCGATTACTAAAGATGTCAAAGTGAAATAATGATCAAGACTCAAACAGCAGTCACAGTACCAGTAGCAAGTGAATATAGCNCACAAAGAGAAGTCATGAGACAAAATTGTGATCTAAACACTAAACATCGTTGCTTAACACCAACAGAAGACGGGAAAAATCAAGTCAAACAGAACAACTACATTTGTTGGGACACTGTCAGATGTTTAGCTACGTATGTGTCATTTGTATTTAAAAAAAAAAAAAAAAGTCTGCAGCCAGTATTTTGTTTTTGGAAAAAAAAACCCCAACAACTTAAAATACAATCTCATCTGTCATTAAACACATCAGGTTCTAAATTACAGAAATGAACATCAACTTAAAAAAAAGTATCTAATACAGTAAAATCTCTTTTTTTGCTACCAAATCCAACTGAAAAAATTACATCAGTGTGCAATTTATTTATTTATTCCCCCCTCTCTCAATGCACGTACCTCAAACTTTGCAGCTGAACAGTTTACTCTACATCGTGGGAAGGAAAAAAGCTTAATTTAAGGACTAACGCTAAAAAAAGCTCCCCAGATGTAAACAGCCTGTGGATGCAAAAGGCTCCTAAGATTTGGAGAAGGCATGCTTCCTAAAGGAGAGTAATGAATAGCATGATGCATTTCATCCAACAAATCTCAGTAATGACGTTTTATCAACATTTTATCGCGACACTGTCAAAACAGGGTGAAGTGATGAGGCACTACTGCCTCATGTTAGGTTAATTGGTGATTCTAAATTGGCCTTATATATGAATGTAAGCACAAATGGGTTTCTGTCTGTGAAGGCTGTACTTTGTCACATCAGCTGAAAGGAAAAGAAACTTGGAAAGAGTAACCGCGGAGACACGACCATAAACTCTTACAGGGTCTGCATAACTGTTGGGAGTCAAAAACGTTCTTGATCATTGCTGCGGACAAACTGGAATCCGGGAGTCACAACAAAAATTTGGCATTTTTGGTTGTGAAAAGAATGTTTTCTATCATGACATCCTCTCTCTAGTTCTGTCTCACATCTACTTGGCTCTTTCAGGTCTTTCTCTTTCTGGAGTGTTACAAAGGACATCAAAACCTGCACGTGGACAGGAAGAGGCCAAAGGACATAAAAAGTCTATCAAAGGAGACTCTGAGCAGCCTTGATGCCATTCACATGGCCTTCGCTTTTGATTGCTTTGTTTTCTTCTTTGTTTTTTTTAGGTCTCCCACCCACACTCGCTCATCCACTCATTCTTTGCACCACTGATGCCTGAAATTACCAAACATAATTATGAGTTCGTCTGTGGACAAACATGTTGCAACTCCTGAGCCTGAGGTTTGTAACATGATCCCACAGGAAGTTTTGGAAACCAAACTACTGTGCAATAAAAATGGCAAACAGGGCTGTTGACTATACTGAGTGCAGAAAAGCTGACTGACAACTCAGCTTAGATTCTAACATGCACTGAATTCCCCTCAAACAGGTCAATAGTGTTTATGAAAGCATATAATTGTGGACTTCTCAACTCACAACAGCATTTTAATTGTTCAGGCAGTAAAAAAACAACAACAACAACAACAAAAAACTGTAAAAAAATAAAATAACAATACAAGATTTTGCATTCTTCATTTACCGGGAAACAAAAATGATTTGTTGCTCTTACATTAGACAAGTGTGTCATTGACTGGTCATGCACTTGAACCTGTTCTTGAAGTAGTAGACTTCGTTATGCATGTTCGTGTTCGCACTGGAAGACAAGTAGCGGAATTTTTCATAGGCCTTTTGTGACTCTGTTTTACTCCAGGGCAGTTGAATCTTTGATGCGTGGTTTACAATGACGTCGCCACAGGAGCCAACGTGGAGGGAGCCCAGAGCGTCGATGAAGAACTCTACAGAATCAGAGGAAAATGTATTTTAGCACAGGTCTTGTTTGCTTTTCGTTCTGAATCAACTCAACAGTGTAACCCCAGCTCAATGCAGGAAATCAATACCAACCCAGATGCGCTTGTCGTGACAGCCGGGGGTCGAAGCCAACCTGCCGCACTTTGTCCGTCTGCCCCATGAAGAAGTTGATGACGGCATCGGCCACCACGCAGTTGGGAAATCCGTCGATGGCGTGGTGGTTGCCATTTCTGATATGCAAACAGTCGCCCTCTTCTCCTCCTGCTTCCACTGAAATGGTGTGACAGTACGTTACAGTGTAACCCGTCACCTCTCTCACCGCGCCGCCGACCTGGTGTCACAAAGGCAACAAAAACATACAGCAAATACATTTATGAACATAAGAGTGTGTATATCCATGGAGGCAGACAAACAACTAAAGACATTTCTCACACAGAGGGGTTACTGCTCAGCCACAGCATTTTAATCTCACAACTCCTGTTCTGACATACTTATGTGGTTTGACTCACTCTGTAACCTCAAGACATCAAATGACAGAGCATGCATGCACTACAGCCCACAGTTGCAGGATACATGATAAAAACAGAGCCACCTAACAGAAAATACTGATGAATGATTGAGTACTGTGTGAAGCTGCAGCATTCACTCCTACTTCTCTTTTTGACTCTATAATCTGACAAATAATAGCTACATAATATCAAACTACAACAACAAAAAAATATCAGTCCGCAATAAATCTTGATTGAAATAGTTCAGATGGCTTACTGATAAAAACATATAGAAACTGGATTCCAGCGCAACCTTGGTCACCTTTGTTCTGAGTTTCGACTTAAGGTCGCTCAAAAATGTATTGCAGCATTGATCACTGGAAGCCGTGTAAGGAATCAACAGAATGCTAAGATGAATATTTTACTTGTAGACAGTAAAGTAAAGCCAAGAGTGAGGAGATATGAAGGGAAATTGCTGGGGAGATTTGCTGCTGATGCTATCAGCACCGCACCGGTAATGAGGACCTCTGTTTAAGGAAAATAAATTGTACAGTGACATTCGATTGCCTTCTGTTTCTGTGACTATGTTGTGTGGTCAGAGCTGATGTGTTCAGAATGTATTCATGCTATTAATTTATTTAGACACATGCGTGCTCCTTGGCCTCATTTAGGTGGCTCAGCAAGGAGGGAGCAAAGAGGAAGGAGCTGAATACTTCTGTTTGATACAATGAGTTCAGCGTATACATGTCACATGCATCTCACCAGATCCAGAGTGGTTTTCTCTAGTATGTCCACCATCTTCTCCAACTTGGTGTTTGCAGTGAAGATGAAATCATCATCCACCCAGAGCACATACTTGGTGGTCACTTGAGACACTGCCAGGTTTCTTCCTGCAAACCAACCCTGCATAAAAGAGGAATCAACGTACACTAACTATTTAATAACTACAATGCAGAACGCTACATAGAGAGACATCAACTTCTTTACCTTTCCATATGGCATGATATAATGTTCAATATGAGGGCCGGTCACAGGCTGAGGGTGCTCGTTGTCATCTGCTATCACTATGGTGACGTTGGGATAATACTGTCGTATGCTGTCGATGAGGTCTTTGAGCTTGTCGTAGCGAAGGAAGGTCTTGGTGGCAATAGTGACAAGAGCACTAATGTTGTACTCTAAGTGGAAACAGAAAAATAAATCATACGGAGATGTGATTTTGAAATCATGTACAGTATGTATACAGTATATCTCTTCATGGGACAACACTGAAGAAAAGACACTTTGCTACAGTCTAAAGCAGTCAGTGTACAGTTTGTGTAACAGTGTTCCCTCAAAATAGACAGCCATTAATGTCTAAACCACTGGCAACAAAAGTGAGTACACCCTTAAGTGAAAATGTCCAAACTGGTCCCAATAAGCCATTTTCCCTCCCCCCTGTCATGTGACCCGTTAGCGTTACAAGGTCTCAGGTGTGAATGGGGAGCAGGCGTGTTAAATTTGGTGTTATCGCTCTCACACTCTCTCATACTGATCACTGGAAGTTTAACATGGCACCTCATGGCAAAGAACTCTCTGAGGATCTGAAAAAAGAACTGTTGCACTACATAAAGATGGCCTAGACTATAAGAAGATTGCCAACATCCTGAAACTGAGCAGCAGCACGGCGGTCAAGACCATACAGCGGTTTAACAGCACAGGTTCCACTCAGAAGGTTGTCTTTGGAAAATAGATGTATAAGTGCTGCCAGCATTGCTCCAGAGGTTGAAGGGGTGGGGGGTTGGTGTGTCAGTGCTCAGACCATACGCCGCACACTGCATCAAATTGGCCTGCGTGTCTGTCATCCCAGAAGGAAGACTCTTCTAAAGATGATGCACAAGAAAGCCCACAAACAGTTTGCTAAGGACAAGCAGACTAAGGACATGGATTACTGGAACCATGTCTTGTGGTCTGATGAGTCCAAAATAAACGTATTTGGTTCAGATGGTGTCGAGTGTGTGTGGCGGAAACCAGATGAGGAGTACAAAGACAAGTGTGTCTTGCCTACAGTCAAACATGGTGGTGGGAGTGTCATGATCTGGGGCTGCATGAGTGCTGCCAGTGTAATGGAAAAATATTGCATCTGCATGAACAATGTTAAAGCAAGTTTCTCTAAGTTTCTCTAAGTTTTATTAAAGCTGAGTGGAAAGGTTACAGGCCCAAAATGTGTTCCCATAACATCTAGGTAAACACTAGTGGCTATACATGGGAAGAAGAAGTTGTGCATCCCATGTGTTTAGACTATTGATGCCTGATCCACCGTGTTTAGTCTTCTAAATGTCTGTGGATGAGTAGACCCTGTACACCCAGCTGTTGTTTTCCAGCATGAGATTGTTATACTACCGTTGAAGTAAAGACCACGCCTGTACATGTATAAGAATACTATGCTGCCTGCATTCATGTGTACTCTCCTGCAGACTGCTTGCATTCTGTATGACCTGTACCTTCAAAGCTTTGAATAAAACAAGACAAAGACAACTCGGACCACTGGACTTTATGTGGATCATAGAAAATTTCCTCAACACCGGCACCGGACAACTACAGTTCATTGAGGGAAACCATGAATGCCAACACGTACTGTGACATCCTGAAGCAGAGTATGATCCCCTCCCTTCAGACACTGGGCCACCGGGCAGTATTCCACATGATAACAACCCCAAACACACCTTCAAGGCAACCACTGCCTTGCTAAAGAAGTTGAGGGTGAACGTGATAGACTGGCCAAGCATATCTCCAGACCTAAAACCTATTGAGCATCTGTGGGGCATCCTCAAACGGAAGGTGGAGGAGCACAAAGTCTCTAACATCCACCAGCTCCGTGATGTCGTCATGAAGAAGTACATTGCAGCAAAGTATATATATATGTGTGTGTGTGTAAATATATAAAGATGATACACAATAACAAACCTTCCTGGTATCCAGAGTTGTAAAGCTTCGGAATGATTGGATGCCCAACTTTGATGATGAAAAATGACCGTTGACTTTTGGTTGCAAACCGAACTGCAGAATGAAACAAAACAGTGACAAATCCAAGTCAGAGGTGATGAAGTAAGTGCATATTATCATGAAGATACGATTTTCATGGTAAGCTGTATTTGCACAGGCAAGTACAACTTTTTTTTTTAAATTTTTTTTAGATGCACTGGAAACAAGTTTCACAGGGAGAGACTAACATTTAAATGACTTCTTCTCCATGTTCAGAGAACGACCTTTCATGAATCTGTTGCAATTTTTATTGCACACTTGTTCCACTTATTTGGTCTTTTCATCATAATTAGAACAGAATAGGAATAAAAAAATGTCAGATATTGAAATCTGGGATATAAATATGTATAGGCATTACAACAGAGGACATTTTGCTTTTGCTGTCAAATGATGAGCAAAATATTACTATGTGACATGCAGGAACATAAACATAAACATAAACATAAACATAAACATATATATATGTATGTATATAACTAAACTGAACTGACCAGCAGGTAATGCTCATATCATATTGAGTACCTGTATTGTGGTTCTGATGATGTGGCTTCAAATGAACAAGTTTGCTTCTTTCTAAGCAGGCAGGAGCCAGACAGGTACACCCAGAGGTAGTTATCTAGCTCATGGCCAAATCTGTGGTGTTGGTTAACTGTCAGGCAGTGAGGCCAGAACTAAACTTGCTTCCTGGTCCAGGCTTTGACAGACTGCGTGAGTATTCCCACACCACCCAGCCTGGATATATCCTAAGTGACAAATCTTCCTTTTGACAGGCAACAGATGATCAGCCATTAAATTTGCACTTCAACCTAAAACTTTACTTTTGCTTAGAGATAATGTTTTGCACTGTAAGAGCAGTCAAACCTAACCTTGCTTCACTTTGGTCTCTTTAGGTAGTTATTTTTTATTACTCATTGACCATCTCATGATAGTTATGAGGTCGTATCTGAACACCATTTCCATATGTTTAGAACTCAGCCTGTATTAATACTTGCGTAACTCATTTTCAATAATGCCTATTCTATTATTAAAAATATGTCTAAAAGAATTTTTATTTTACTACTGAGGGTCTACTCTACACCATCAAATGTATGCACATGACATTCTCGTTTTAGTATCCACATGATAACTTTACTTGTATCTGCTGTCTTCGGGTGGAACACAGTGTTTGTATAGGTGACGAACTCCAGCTGCCTGTTCAGGTCAGGGAGACGAGGACTCGACAGCATCATCTGCTTCTCTCCCTCTCCTGTGATGGAGACCCCGTCCACCGTCGCAGCAACATCAAAAATCCCCAGAGTTGCTGTCAAATATACCTTTTCGATCATTTTCAGAGTTTTTTGGGGGAAGAAAAAAATAAACTTTAACATTTGGACAAAAAAAAAAAGGGGGGGGAAAAGTCAACCACAATGAAAACCTCAAAATGAAGAAATTACTGTATGGACTGATCTTGCTTCTTCTTTCAGACCCAAACCTATGGAAAGAGAGCAGCGATTACTAAAGATGTCAAAGTGAAATAATGATCAAGACTCAAACAGCAGTCACAGTACCAGTAGCAAGTGAATATAGCTTCATCTATCTGTAATGTGACGCCATTCCGTCATTCTTACATGGGTCACTTTTACATTTATGTTTACGGCTTCATTCAGACAAACCCATAAATGAGTTATTTCACATCGTACACGTGAGATCAAGTGTCATAATGGATGCTAATGCACTAACAAGCAAAAGACTAGATCTAAATCTGCTACGTAACAAATGGTTTAGCTGTAGCTGATAAACTGTGAGCTTGTGTGTGACAGCTCACCTCCATTCAGAGATAATTATAAGCAACTGATGAGGTTACTGCTGTTGTTTTACATGTGTAGATATGCTTATATGGATTATGCTGCCGTCTGATGCTGCAAGTGTTCAATAAACTCTGAGGAAAGACCCCTACAAACAGCTGGAAGCAACAAACTAAGCTTCAGCTCATAATAGCGTGACTAGGTTAATTTGGTTGATTTTAGATATAAGTTTTTTTTTTCTTATCAGACAATGAGTTGTTCAGAAAGGAGCTGTTGTACCACGGCTGTTATAAGTAACTCATTGTCTGACAAGAAAAGAAACCTTATATCTAAACTTCAGCTCCTCTTAACATTTTGTCAAAACCCAGAATACATTCACCATTTGTGAGTTTCAATAATCTGATGCCGTCATTGGAGCAAAGTCTTATTTTTATGGAAAATTTCAGTTTGTAATCGATGTGAAATTGTAGGGCAAAGTAAATACGTAAGGTATGTTGTTTTTGTGACAAATCGTCACTCTGTGATGTTTTTGGACCAGTTTTGGTGCTGAAACGTATCTTGAAAAAAAAAAAACTCATTAAATGTGAAGCATTTAGGCCCAGCCTGTTAAGGAAACTGTGTTAAAATGTGTTGTTACCTGGAATGATGATTGTTTGCAGAGGTCGCACCTCCACACCCTGGGTAGGATACTGAAGAGGACTGTTGGCCTCCGCTACAATAAGCACATCCGCAGGACTGTAGGACCTATATGTACACATATAACATAACATACTTTAGTGCAGCCTTGTGTTGTTCACAGAGTCATGCCTGAACAAACTCACTCCGGACTCGCTCGTAATTTTGGATGCATTCCACCTGGTCAGAGCGGTCCGGAGCTGGAGGGAGAGTGGTAAGAAGAAAGGCTGGGGACTCGCCATGTGTGTGAATGAGAGATGATGTACTGCTGGGCACATTAGTGTTAAAGAGCAGCGCTGCACAAAGGATGCTGAACTGCTGAACTTTTTTCTTTTGTGTTTCTTTGCCTAGTCTCATCAATGTGTGCATGTATAGGTCTTGATGCTCTGGCAATCGTTGAGATTCAGGTTTTCTCAGCTTCTGCATCTCTTGCAGGTACTCTTGATGATTGTCGGCCCGGTTTTCCCACAAAAGTCGTCAGATCGTCTCTGCTGTGTGTTAGTACAGCAGTGCAGTTAGTGCAGCTAGATTATGGTGTATTTGTTTTCTTTTGTTTTCCTCTACTTTCCTTTCACTCTTCCTCGCACTTCTTTGGACTGCACACTTTTCTTTTTCCTTTTTCAGGTCCAGCAATATGACATGTAACTCAATAAGAATCCAGCATCCAAAATAACTGAACAAAATAAAATAGAATGACTACATACATAAATAAAGGAAAATCAGACTATCAAGAGGGGCCTTATATTTGTAAAGCTCCCCTTGGCAAAGTAAATCTGTTCAGCACAACACAGCATTCAGGTCATCATTCTGCTTGCTATGATGCTGGACCGGACATGCTAAAAAAAAAAAAAAAAAAAAGGATGCTGAACTGCTGGCGGTTGATTTGCGGCTGTTTTACCTGCCGAGGGAGTTTTTGGCGATTACAGTTTACATCCCCTCCTCGGCTGATGCTTCTGCAGCCTGTGAACTCATCCGTAGTTCAGTGTCCCAGCTGCAAACATCACACCCTCAGTCTATGATCGTCATCTCAGGAGACTAATATGTCACTCTCTACCACTCTCCCCGCATTCAGCCAGTGTGTGGACTGCCCAACCGGAGACGGTGGGGCCTTGGACCTGCTGTGTGCGGACACTGGCGATGCATATTACTTAACTATTGTTATTTTCTTGTACTGTCTTCTATGTTTTTGGATGCTGCTGTTTACAATAATTTCCCAGGTCTGGGATAAATAAAGTATATTCTGTTCTATTCTATTCTTTAACATATCAGAAAAAAGCTGTATTATTTAATTCATGTGCAATAATCGCCATATTCCAGACACATACAGAAGAGGCAGTAGTACTGTATGGTCCTAGTATTGAGCTCTGCACAAGCAGAAGTGACAAAAGCTGACAGATGAAATACTCTTTTAAAAAAGACAATCCTGTTGCCTAAGAGTTATTATACTGTGAAATATCCTCTGACCTGGGTGACTTATCCATTGTCTAAAATAATGCTGGTAAAATTAATTAATCAGATGGTTTCATTGCCACAAATCTTGAGCCATCTAAGCTTAACTACATGATTTTTTTTTAAAAATGTACTTTATGCGTATAACTGAAATGTAAAAAAAAATCAACTGTGACCACCAGAGAGCTTATCTTCAAATATGTAGCAAGATTATTCACGTAAACCTTGCTCATTTAAGACAAACTGCATCAAGAATATCGCTTCTACTAAGTCTATTAAAACAGTGGTATCTGTTACATCAAATGTTTTTAGATCGTCTTCTGTTTCCCCAAGTTGTGTATGAAACCGCCCTCTGCGCTCCTATTGGTCAACTTCACAGCCATGTTCCAGACGTTGTCATACAACACAGGAGAACGTAAGAGGAACAGAAACAGAAGCCCTTTGTTGGGATGTTGTGACGTATCCGAAATGCAGCACTGGTTGTTTGCAGCAATGATAAACAATGAGGACAAAACTATCAATTGTCATGTCCAATTTCATTCGTGATGCCTTACGTCTTTTTGGCTGGTATATTTTCATGCTGATATGATGTAGTCTGAAACGGTTATTGGTTTCAAATACATGCCACAATGGGGGAGGTGTCAAACTGAACTAACGCTTTATTAAGATGGGTGCGGAAGACGTTGAGGCATTTCAACAGGCAGCACTGCCAAGTGAGATGTTATCATGTTACAGCATGACTTAGAGACGTCTCTCTGGAATAGTTGGTAGTGATTCATGACCCAGCCTTTTGTGTCAAAGTGCAGATCCTTAATCCACATGGATTTTCTCCACATCTTACAAAACTGTGAACATCTTTTAATGAAACAAACATTTAAAAAGCAAAGCAAACAGTTACATAACTCACACATAATCAGAGTGATATTATCATTTAAACTATACCTCCACTGGAAGTTGTTGTACTCCTGAGCTCTGTGACGTTTTATGCTGTCAGGATCAGGGTGGAGCTCCAAGAATGCAAGATCTAGGTTGTGGGCCCACACTCGTGGAAAGAGCAGGTTGGAGAACGGCAGGTGAAAGCTTTCCTGATCAGCCTGGCATACACATGCATTTTGTGCCAAACGACTGGGTCAGAAAACAGAGTACAGAGTGAGTTGATAAGGATGATTATTTGAATTTAGAACATAATTTAAGCAAAATTACAGTCATGCTGATAAATAACACACCATGCCACGTCCTCCTTTATATGGTAGGGAATGTTGGTGTCTCCAGTTTTCCCACGGAAGAATTGTTTTATTGGACTACTCTGTTTTGACCGTATGTCGACTCCTGAACTGGTCCCGGGCCTCCAAGCATGAAACAGGAACATCAGCAGTAATCCACTGACCAAAATCAATCCGAGACACTTCTTATTGATGTTATTCATCTAAAAGGAAGATTTGTTGAAATGTCAAAATGGTAAACAGGACAAAGGGGCATGTGAGAGACCTGTGTCCAATGTGGGAATTTTCCATTTTGACAAAATTGGACACCTAGACATGAGCCTGGTTTTTTCAGTCCTTGAAACTCTGCGGAGGTGAAAGCACAAATAAAGCGACTGCCATGTAAAGACCTACCAAAATAATGAGCTTTCCTTAAATTTGAAATGATAAGAGCTACATTTTAACTTAATAAAGGTTGTCTGATTTGCTGGATCCCATCACAGATTGAATAATGGATCCCATTCATGTATCATACTGCAGATGTGCAAGCATATTGGTGGTGTAAACAATTTAATGCAGAGCAGTCTGTACATGCACAACCGATAGTTCATACCAGCAAACATTCTTTTCAAAATCAGAATGATGCTTTGAAGCTCCTATACAATTTTGTAAATGTCACAGTGTAGTGTTAGACTTCCTGATTTAGACTGACAACCACAGATAGGCGGCTACAGGATGTGAACGCTTTGTCACTGAAGCTTCTGGTTAGTTTTACTGCTCTTTTCTAGTTAACACTAATGCCCTGACCTTCACCACTATTTTCTTTTCTTTAATTTAATTTACTTTTTAATTTAGGTTGTCAGTGTATTGAGTAGCTTCCTCCCTTTTGCACCCCCTGTGCATTTGAATGAAGAACAGGCAAATGATAAGGTCACAGCTAAGCCTTCTAGAGGCAGCGCGTTACGTCTGTTATCAGGAGACAGATCTTTCCATCCACTGAATCTCCATGTTTAGCTATTATGCTCTTTTAAAGTGCACTGAAGAATTGAAATTCTGCTGTCAGTAAACATGAAGGTGAGATGAGGGCTAAATGTATCTGTGGCCTTTGCACTTATTTTTTCCACACTGAAGCTAAACTACTGGTCATTTATAAATTGTCTGCTAGCTAGATATTTCCTAATATAAATAATTAGGTTATATTAGATTAGATTTCACTTTACTCTTACCGAGACAACGGAAGACAGTTTAGCATCTAACCAGAGATGTCAAAAGCAGGTGTCCCTGTTCTTAACTTAAGCTGTGTTTAAACATGATAACAAGTGCACAAGCATAAAGACCAGTATGAAAGGCTGCGTGGTATGTGGGTAGCCTAACTGGTCTAGCTGGAAGTATTCTACATAATGTCAAGTTGGGTTATCAGATCATTTTCATGTGCCCAAGTTGAGTAGAGAGCACATGAACAAAGCTCAGAGGGACACTGGAAACAACACTTAGACAAGCACGATGGAATCAGCCAACACTCTCAGACCAAGCAGAGCACCCCTGGACTACCTCACACCTGGATACTAGACTAATCAGGGACTGACAACCTTTATCAAGAGCACACAGTGGAATCAATGTAAGATTAAATGTTACAAAAGTTTTTAAAAAACGTGCAAAAAAATAAAGAGGCCTGAATACATTCTGCGCATGTGTGTGAATTTCTGTCCAAAATATGCTGCCTGGATGTCTGTACAAGTCAAAAGCATGACTCTGGACTCCTTTTGTAAGATGCCACGCAACACAAATGTTGTATTCTTTATTTGCGGATGTATTTTGATGTAGGTTTTGCTTGAATTTAAATTTTTTTTTTCCTGATTTGCATTTTGGCGACTGAAGAGAACAGGACTTCTCAGGGTTACTGCAAGTTACAGTAAATGACTGTTTACCTTTAATATATTCTCTCTTGACAGTTTTCCCTCCCTTTTCTGTCTTTCCTAAAACAGTCTTTTATAAATAAAAATCCAACCTATAGGCCACATGATAGAAACCAGTGATTTGTCTAAATAGATAAGCCTCAAACTAACACCACTCCCCCATTGTTAGCTCCTAAACTAAAGTCATATATTCACAACTTAATGATAAAGGAGTAAAACAATGAACACTAGGTTAGGTTTGGCTTTTTGTGTAGCGCTGCAGCACGTCTAACACACATTTCATATTTGCTTTGGAGCAGCCTATGGAACCGGTATTTCAGTAGACAAATCCTCACCAATCCAGACATGTCTTATCAGAAAAGAATAAGCAAGGAAGACAGAAGGGGTAATAAATAAATAAACAAATAAATAAAATTTTAAAAAGGACATATTTCTTACTGTTGGTGAATCCACTGGAGGTGTTTTCCGATTAAGCCGACTTCCGCACAAATTCTCAGAACTTTTGACGGACAGTTGCGCATGCTGTCTGCGGAACATGGGTTTGGTGATCTGACGCAGCCACACCTTTAGAGCGGTGCGACATCATCCCTGTAAGCAGCTGAAGGTGAACAATCCAAGTGAAATTCGGTGCGTAAAAGTTGAGAAAGTTTCTCCAGGTGAGGTTGTATCATTTCTCCATTGAGCTGACCAGACACCGTTCCTCCCTCCCCAGTAGCGCACTTTTGGAGTTTGACTCCGGAAGCGGTAATCTGTGCAAGTTTTGACCCGCTTCATTAAGAAATACATGTTGCTTCTTTCTTGTACTTCATTTGAGTGTTTTCAGGTAGGGCCTGAATTCAGATTTTATCCTTTTATTCACTTATTAGTGACTTTGAGTTACTCCTATATAAATCTAATCAATGATTATGATTATTCCACAATTTCCAATATGAGGCCTTGTTTATTTTTTTGATTTATATGATTTATTCTTTACACATGACCGCATTTTGGATCACTATTAATACGTCGTCCTGTAATATTCTCAGTACATGTTTTCCATTTTTGTTTTTTTCAAACAGGCACTTGAAAGGGAATATTAAACGGTGCTGTTTTGCTCTGCTCTGATTGGTCCAATTTGACAGCTGACTGTGTCTCTGTTAGTGTTTTGCGCTCTAAAAAGTCATTCAAGGGACCTTTTCTTTCCATCACTTAATTAAATACTGGTTTTACTGGTATCCTCTTTTTTGTCCTAGAGATTGCTTTTATTTATTGATTTTTTATTGTGACTTACTTTTACTGATCTTGATCTTATTTATTTGATCTTGTCTTTATTACTTCCTGGCTATCATATCAACAAATGGTGGAATACTGAGCACTTTTTTTGTTTGTTTGCCAAACACTATCATTTGTTTTTTCTGCAAAACAAATCTTCCCTAAGGTATTAATAAATTAACCTTGACCTTGATAATATAATTGAAAGATTTAAAAAAATAAATAAAATTTAAAAAATTCTAATTTCCCTTTTTTACTTTATTTTATTTATTTATTTATTTATTTTTTTACAACTCACAAACATTCTTTTCAAGGGTTTGGTTGGCATAATAATGTCAGTAATTCCATCAACTTAATGTTGTGTGTGATTGAAGCTTAAATTTATTGGTTAGTTGATGTAGCACTACATTTACATAATGAAATTAGCTTGATAACTCTTTTTTTCTTCTTCACCTTATCAAGTTCAAGTCCCCTCCTTGGTAAGGAATGGTGAATAAAAATAACAATAATAAAAAGAACTTTGATTTTTAAAGAAAAAGCTAGTTGCCCAAACTTGTGTTTTGAACACAATTCTATTAGAAGTTGTCATAAGTGAAAAATATTGGTGCAAACTGTTGTGTTGGTTTTCTTTTGCTTTTGTTGGGCATAAATGTTATGTTTTAGAGTGCACATGCTGCTTTGCTTTGTGAAGTCTTGTTCATACTGGCTAACTCAGAAACTACAGCCTTCCTGGAAACAACACCCACGTTCCGGATTTCCCGTGTCAGTGCTTTTAGTATTCTTTTGTATTCATGGAACAGTTTGTATTGAAGAGATATGAGGCATTTGGATTCTGTCCCCCTGTTGTGTTGCTTTTTCAAATCTGAAGTCATCATAATTCTTTACCCTGGCACCAGTTCTAGTAGCCCTCTTCTCTAGCCTAGTTCCTGTATCTCTTATCTAAGTTCCTCCTGAAGAGGCTGACAAGTTCACTGTCAGTTGTTTCTTGATAGTCGGGGGACAGTGTGCTTAAACAACGAACCAAAATCAGGTCATTCCTCAAAAATATAGACTTAGAAAAGTTCATCCATGCTTTCATCTCCTCCAGACTTGACTACTGTAATGCACTTTGGTGATGACCCCTGAGGTCATCTCGTATCTTGAGGGTGGTTCTAGTTCGTCTGTTGGTTCTGTGAGTGGCTGCTTGATGTAAACAGGAGCACCTGTGACACCCAGTGTGCTCCTGGGTTACTTAAGGGCCGACTGCAGTCTAATCGCTCTCTGCATCCCTCTGCAGGTAACACACCGGTCTGGTTATGGGTTAGTTTCTTCATTTGGAATGTTTACATTTACATCACTTGCACAGACATAATTCATGCATGCATCACACACAAACCACTGACTATGTCCTCTCACAACCCCATTCTGGTTTGGCTTTTAATTTGGTATAATTTAAGTGAATAAAGACAAGCTTTAATTTTTGAAATTTGGTGTGTCTGTCCTTGACCTGGCGTCCGTATGCGTGGACATCACATTTTGGGTTATATTACTGCAGTAGTTAATTTTTTAAATTTTTTTTATTATTTCTATTTTATTATTATTGTTTTCATTATTTTTTTTATTTCTAAAAATATTTGTATATATATATATATATATATATATATATATATTTTTTTTTTAAAATATATTTTGAATTTCTTTATATTTTTTATATTTTATCCCTCTTTGATATTCAATCAGACCAAATAGCAAAGACGAAAAAAAAACAAACAACTTATATCAAACAGGAGCTTGGGTCTTAAGAGGTTAAGTAGGGAGCTGCTCTGACCCCGGCACCAATGAACAAACTCCACGTATCCCTATGTCTATAGGGATGTACATTTATACATATACGTACACATATATGCAGCAGTGTTTCTATAAAGGGACAAACTGATTATATGTAGACATTTTGCTATACATTTATAGAATATTTGTTTGTTTAATATGTTCGACATTTTGGACGAGGCTAATCCTTGTTCGTCTGGGTCCAGATTGAAGGTTTTCTTTCCCGGCTTACCCACATTATAAATTTATTGTGGCAATATCAGTGGTTTCTCTTGGTATCACTGCTGATTCTCATGTCTCTAGATATCATGTAAATAATGTTTCTTCTCTTTTATTCTTTAGGTGCTACATAACTCCCAGGGATTTGTGGAGAGTCTTCATTAGCTGTGGAGTCAGAACCACTCCGTATATAAGATGGCTTCTGACTTTGCACCAAGCTATTGGTTTAACTAGACCTGATGAAGGTCCAGTACCGAAACGTTGCTGTAATAAATTCATGTTTGGAATTAGACAGTGTGCGTGAGTCCATTTTCATACCTGTTCAATGTACTCTTCCCTCTCCTACACACCCGCCTCTTGAAATAGATGTGCAAAGAGTTGCCTTGAGTTGGATCCAATTTACCTGCAATATACCTGTTTTACAGTAAAGCACTTTGTTGTAATGGCTGATATAGAAATAAAATTTATATTATTGTGATAAAAAAAATTCACTTGTGTCTTTTATCACAGACTCATATTAATCATATCTTTGTGCTGATGTATTGTGTTTATTTCTATTTTTATTGTTATTATTATAGCCTTTAGACTTTATTTTAAGCATTTAATCGTTTTTAAAACTTTATCTATTTCCTTGTTCATTTTATTCTCTTTAACCATTAATTTATTTACTTATGTGTTTATGGTTTTACCCTCTATTTTCTTTTATTCCACTTGTTCTTTCCCTTACTCAGATGTGACATTTCATTTTGCTATCTGGTGTGGTTGTACTCATTTATTTTGAGAGTCTTTTACAATGTTCGGATTAAGAGTCCTGAAACAAGTTTTTCAGTTTGTTTTTACAATTGCCGATAGAAACACAGGTCTCAATGTCATTCGGCAGGATGTCCCACTGAGTGGTAGCTTTTACAGAACAAGCTGACTGCCCAAAGGTGGTGCGTCGAAAAGGTATTAAACAGTCACTTGTGGAAGATATCCTTGTGGATTTTATGGATTGTGCCGTGCGATACCAAATAAACTGGAGTAGCAGAGGAGGGGCCAAACCATTTAAAATTTTAAAAACAAGACACGTTTGAAAATAACGTACAATTTTCGAAGCTCAGAAGATAATGCTTATCTAAAATCCTATACTACTACTAATAATAATAATAATAATAATAATGATGATGATGCTCGGCCATCCAGCTCTTTAAGTCAAGTTTATACTATCAGTGACTGCTCTTTAGGCCTCAGGTGCGTTCATGTACAGTAATCATACATTCGTCCTCACATGTATTCATACCCTCCCATTAAAGAAGGAAAAAAACAGCTGTCACTGAAATAAATTCAAATTGACAAAAGTAATAATAAATAAACATTTAATGAAAATCATGACATTGCTTTTGAATTGTGGCTCAACAGAAATATTACAAAAAAAACCCCAAAACAAACAAAAACAAGCATGATGAGACCCGCAAAATACTATTTTGTTGAACAACCCTTTGAGCCAATCACTGCAATCAAGTATTTTCTGTAACTCTCAATCAGACGTCTGCACCCGTTGACAGGTGTTTTGATTTTGGCCCACTGCTCATCAACAAAGTGCTCTGATTTGTCTGAGACAGTTTTCTTTTTTTAAAATTATTCTTTTAAACCACAATTCAAAACCAATGTCTCATTTCACTAAATTATAATTTAGCAAATTTTTATTTATTATTACTTTTTTCAGTTTCTGGATATTTGAGTGACTATTGAGAATTTTGCCTTTTCTTTAATTAATAGAAGGGTATGAATACATTTGAGGTCGCCTCTAGCTGTGGAGCTGTGTTAGAGTGACACCTAGTGGCCAAGCTTTGTGAAGCAACACCTCTACTTCCTGTCCTTTCGCTTCCTCGCTCATTATCCTTAAATAACCTATATACTAATAATTAACACATCCAATATAACTCAACCTGCGAGTTATTTACAATTACCACATTTAAAAAAATAAAAAACGTGGAAAAATGGGTCTTCCGCATACGTCACAGCCAGCCAGCCAATGAGAGCCCGCATTTGCAGAGCTTAGCGCGTGATGCTGAAGAATGTAAATCTATCCGGTGGCTTTTCTCTCAATAATCATGTTGTTCGGGGAAGCAATAATAGGGAGAACCAAAAAGCAGCAGCAGCAGTAGCAGCAGCAGCAACTCGGATGAATGTGAGCCACACATGTGAGCAGATGTCCGGCTGGTGTAGCAGGCTGGTGCCGCTCTCAGGAAACACTGACTGCTCAAAGGGCTGACAAGCAAACCGTGCTCACAAGTGACTGATCCTCCCAGCGAAGGTAAATGACACACACACATGCAGGTGTTATTTCTTCAGTGTTTCTTTCGTTTTGAAGGCTGACTGCAGACAAACAAGCAGCTGCTGGTGTTTGTGGTGATCAACTTAAAGAAAGCGATGTGCTGTCCTCGTGGCCTCTCGGCGCTTCCTCAGTCATGTGTTTTTTCCTCTACTCGGATTGTCGCTCAATTTTATTTATCGTCAGGATAAGAGAGCAGATGCTTTTTTTTTTGCCAAATGTTAATCATTAACATCTGTTTTGAGGTCTTTAACCTCACAGGCAGCAGCAGAACTGAATTGAAAACATTTTGACATACTGGCAAGTGTGAAGTCTGTGTCAAAAGAGATTGAGTTTATCTATTTACTTCAGTCTAGCTTTAAAACAAAATTAGACCTGAATGCTGTGACTTAATCCCAGAGCTGCTCCACAGACTGATTAGTGGCACTAATCACTGTGACTGGAGCACATTTTCTGACCCACAGTCCTGTTGTTGAAGTTTAAGTCCACAGCATCAGTCATGAGTCAAGTTTTGACAATTGGTATTAGAATAAATAAATAAACGCAGCATGCAAATAATGTTCTTTTCTGAATTAGAGAAAAAGTTTATAATCCCATTTGCAGTGCTCCTGTTGTTCAATTTAGCCAATTGTGCGCATGTTTTGAGCAGCTCAACCGGTCACAAATATTTTAACAATTGCAGTAATTCACACCCCTGTTAGGTGTGGCTTTTAAAAGTATTACCATTACACTGAAACTGGCCAGCAGCTATGTCATGACACCTTAAATGCAGCTTCACTGGAATTACATGATACCCCAGATGATAAGAGAAATGTGAGAACAGGCAGACTTGATGCTGGCAGGTCATTCAGAGCAGTAACCGGACACTCGAATGTACACAGCTTCACCATATGTTGTCTAACAAATGGGTTTTAGGCAGCGTAGTAGGACTGACAAGCTGTGATGTTCTGGACGCACGCGTTTGACATCATTTCCCCTAAAATGTCTTGACAACTTTACCAAACCTTTTAGGAAGAGTGGGACAGCGTACCGCAAGCAGCATCAACAGCGTCTTTGACTCTATGCATCATTGATGTGCAAGTCATTACTGATTTGTGATTTCTGGTCTCATAACCACAGCCTATTTATAATCTCCAATACAGCGTGTGCTTGGTTGTTTCATGACTCCCACTCTGTTGTAGAGATGCCGTGTGTTGGAACAACAGATGCTTATTCTTAAAAACAATGCATCGAATTTAATAAAACCTCACATGCTGCATTTAGGTAGTTTTTTCAGTGTATATTTTCTGTCAAGATTTTATTGCAAAAACAAAATGTAGAATTAGATCTTGAGACAAAATTTCTTTGCCGTGTTTAAAACATGCAGTGTTAGTCTAAAACGAGTAAATGCATGAACTAAAACCTCATTGCATGTTTTAATTTTTAGGCATATATGAAAAATGTGTCCTGCTGTAGAGTACAGTTTTATTTTCGGGACTATTTGACACAAATGATTTTCAAATTAATACTGGAAATTCTTGAATTGGAAAAAAAACACATCAACTCAGCTCAAAATCATACACTATATATAACAAAACAAATACATGCTAATGAGTGAGATAGTTCAGGTTTGACATCCCACTGATCCTAGTGTGTGACTTTGTGTAGACATGCTGTAACTGGGACGTCGCGGCGCTGGAGACGGTGTCACCATGAAGGGCGGCGGCTCCAGATGGGCCTTTTCACTGGGCTTCCTGGTGGGGGCCTGCAGCGTGTACTTCTTCCTGCACCAGATGTGGTTTGAGAGAAGCTACCCAGTGCTGTCAGAGACTCAGGAAAAAGCCACGGTGGTAGGCTCACTTCCAACTCCATCCAGTTGGAAGAAGGAAGGATCTGCTCTCATCAACCTCCTCCGCCTTAACCGTGCAGGTGCTTTACACTCTACAGATAGAACCATCCAGTGTGCATGAAATGACAGAAGTATTTCAATGAATATTACCATCCATATGTTTGTAGTACAGAAAAACCTTTATGAACTAATGGAATTCGACATCAAATCTGCATTATTCATAAGAGAAGCTAATTGATTTCCATCCATCCATTATCTATACACCACTTAATCCTCACTAGGGTCGCGGGGGGCTGGAGTCTATCCCAGCTGAGTTAGGGCGAAGGCAGAGGACACCCTGGACAGGTCGCCAGTCTATCACAGGGCTAGCTAATTGATTTTTCAAAATAAAACACTGTTTGATGCTGAACACTGAAAGATTCTAAATAAGTAAAAAATAACCTGTTCTACTGAAATCACAGCAGCAACTCAGACGTGATGTTTATTTGGTGAATGATGCAGCAGAGGCCAACTCATAACCCTTTAATGTGCAGTATCTGCCCGTAAGCACTTAGCTGGCTAGGATAGAGCAATGATAGTGATGGATGATTGTACAGACGTATTTCTGTAATTTACATGATAGTATAGTGAGCTTTTAAAGGTTCTTAATGGTGGCGATGGGGACGTGGGAGAAGTCCTGTGGCACACTGTAAGACACTGACATGATGAGCACATAAGATGCATAATGTTTAGCATGGCTGCTTAGATTATTCTGAAAGTAACCAAAGAGAAAAAATGGACAGAGAGGCCAAGAAAGGAAGAATTAGAGGAGGGAGCTGATTGTGTGCCCTGCATGCCTTTACTCTTGCTACGTTGCTTTGTAACTGACTTGTTTCTAGACAGGCTGGTGTCGTGGATATACTGCCATGACTCCTAAAACATCAGATAATAAAATGAGCACTTTACTGATAAAAAAAGTAAGTGTTGGTAAAAACTAAAATTTTAAAGAGAGAGACAGAATTTGTCCAGCATTTCCCTCTCACCCAGAGAAGAAGAATGGCAGCTGGTCTACAACATGATGACGAAGAACACAAAACTCTACTTTCAGCTGGATCAGAGCAAATAGTATGGAGCTAAAAGAGAGACAGTGATAGGTAGATAGATAGATAGATTTACTCTATTTACAAGTAGCAGCATCAGTGAGGTGATGTAGCAGCAGATATATATACATTTAAAGAGCACAGTGCCTGGTGACACATGTTAACGTGAATGTTGAACTGGAACTTGAACAGCAGTGATCAGTCATTGTTTGTGGTTGTTCAGGAGTCTGATGGCCTGAGGAAAGAAACTGTTTGTCATTGTTGTGGTCCTTGACTTCACGCTCCCGTACCGCCTCCCTGACAGCAGCGGTGTGAAGAGTGTGTACTGTGGGTGTGTGTGGTCAAAATAATTTTTTTAGATGACAATTTTTTTTTCCCAATGACAGCTAGTACTGTCTCTCTTTTAGCCCCATAAAATAGCCTCTAATGGTTTCGATCTGTTGCAAGGTTTCCAAGCAGTGTAAGAAGCACTTTCCTTAGGCAAAAACTGCTCCCTATAGATGAGAAGGAAACCGTCTAAGTGGACCTGCAGCCTCGTCGACATTCCATCAGTTGACCAAGGAGCCTCTTCAGACTGAAACTATGTACCTGAGGTGGCCTTAAGTCCCTTTCTGCTACCTTTCTTGTGTAATAGACACGTCTCACATGACTGAACCACTGGTCAGCCTAACCTAAAAAAAAAAAAACATAGACATAGACACTAGACATACAAGCAACTGTTCACTAGCACATGATGAACATATAATATTTAGCTTAAAATTGGTTATACTTTGAAACTACTTAAAGATCCACTGTGGTGAAAATCATCATTTTTCTATTGTTGACGGGCCCATTTGGTGTTTTTAAAATGCTAGAAGACATATTATAAGCAAAATAAATGACCATGGCGAATCGCTTTGTCCGTGAGGCTGCAGTGTAACGACGACGGTCTCATAAACGTGGATTCACACTGAAGAGGTTTCATATCCAAACAACAAGTCTAGAAAAAAACCAACCCTGTCAGTTTGCAGGTGGGACTTTCCGTATCATTATTATTATTATTCTTATGAATCAGTTTCTCATGAGAAAAGCTACATTTCAGCCATTTTAATGCAGGAATGGATTATTTTTCACAGAGTTGAGTTTTTAAGGGTTTAATCAGTGACTGGGGAGAAACTTTAATTACCACTAAGTGTACTATATTATATGTATATATCACTTTACTACCTTGACAGAATGTGTGTTTAAATAATAATGTAGCTTTCAATCAGTATTATTGTAATGAAAAAGTTATGCCGCACTTTATTTTCTCATTTCATTTAGTCTATTTATTATTATGTTTTTTGTCTTTTGCTGTATCCTCGTAATGTGTTGAGGCACTTGGATGTAGTCGTACATATTTTGGGTAGTATTTTTTTTCAAGTTCTTAGCATATTTATATATTGAGAGAAAAGGGGGTGGCTAATGAGCAACTGTTTGAAAGTTTGCAAAATGCAGTTAAAGGGGGACAAACACAAGAAGAATGTAAAAGTAAGTCAATTGGACATGTGGATGTTCTGGTGACGTGTACCAGGATAGTGTGGTGTTCGTGGTAGAATCCCACATACAGTAGTTCTGTTGCACTCCAGATAACATTGTTATGTATTGTACTGTATCCCTCCAGACGAAGACGGCCGGGTGGCGGATGTGTTGTACAAGAAGGTACGTGTTCTCTGTTGGGTGATGACGGGGCCGGCTAACCTGCAGAGCAAAGCCCGCCACGTCAAGGCCACCTGGAGTCGGCACTGCAACTTAGTTCTGTTCATGAGCTCGGTGGAGGACCCCGCCTTTCCCACTGTAGGTCTGGGCACCAAGGAGGGCCGCGATCAGCTCTACTGGAAGACCATCCGGGCCTTCCATTATGTCTACGAACACCACCGGGATGAAGCGGACTGGTTCCTAAAAGCAGATGACGATACCTATGTGGTGGTGGACAACTTGCGCTGGATTCTGTCAAATCACACCTCTGAAGAACCCATCTATTTTGGGAAACGCTTCAAGCCTTATAGCAAACAAGGATACATGAGCGGGGGGGCGGGCTATGTGCTCAGCAAAGAAGCCCTCAAGAGATTCGTGGAGGGTTTTCGGACCAAGGTTTGCACCCACACCACCCCTGTAGAAGACCTAGCGCTGGGGCAGTGTTTGGAGAAGATGGGCGTTGTGGCTGGGGACTCCAGAGATACTTTGCTTCGAGAAACATTTCATCCGTTTGTGCCCGAACACCATCTGACCAGCAAGTTCTCCAAGAACTTCTGGTACTGGAGCTATTGTTACTACCCAATTGTTGAGGCAAGTCCCTTCATATGTGTTTTACTTGTGGGTTATTCACGTATTTAATAGTATACGATATAAAGTAACTTGCTTAAAGAAAAGAAGGTAAAATGTAAAGAAGTCAACGTGCTCAAGCTTGAGTCCCTATTGCAAGACAATTTAATTTCCAGAGTTCAGGCAGACAGTATTAGAAATGGGCAAGTCAGTCACTTAGAAAGACGTGCTGTGGAGAGACTAAATGTCAGTTTTCAAATCCAGAGTGCACGTCTACCGTTCAGGGGAGAGAATTCTTTCATTTGACATGTAAAGCAGGAGCTTTTTTTCTAACTGAAAGTGAGTAGTGTATACTACACTGGATGATGCTTTAAATGACTAATCAGAGGAATAACAACTAAATGAATGAACATGCGAGTATCTGGCACATTCAGACTCTGCACCTGACCCCTGCATACAATGAGTAAATTGAAACAGAGGGAGTTTATTTTAAAGGAGATGATTGCAGCACAAACAATGTCCTGTCAACAAAAGGAAAATTGGTCAATTTGTTGCCGTCGATGCAGCTAATTTATCGTCCTTTGCAATTAAAATGAGACGGATTCATTACTGATCCTGTCACACGCAGTATACGGAGCCGCTTTGTTCCTGGTCTTTGACAGGGTAACAAGAAAACAAACTCACTTTTAATATTAAAGTAATTATGTTTTTATCAGACTGTATAAATGGCGCTTTGTGGTTTCAGAACTCGCAACATGTGACGACTCATAAAAAATTAATGAGCGCCGTTTCTCTTAGTAATTTCTTTGTTGAGAGATCTAAGTTATTCCTTTGCGCCACACACCTCCTTTGTTGCTCAAAAACTATAATTAACACTGAAAACAGCCTCATTGTTACACTGGAAAGCAGTTCTTATAATGGTGAGAGTACAAGTACTGTACTTTATCTTCATTATAGCCCCATACTGTGACCCTTGTCCAAAAATTAATGACCGTTTCACACAGTTCCCCGCAAAGTGCTTTTCAGTTTTTCTACTGAAGTTACTGCAAAGATGGTTCATTTTAGCACGACTATGTAACACCTGGTTCTACCTCTGATTTCAATGCAGACATAACATCACATCAGTTGCCGGCACAGCAGCTGACACGCTCAAACTTCCTCTCTGAGCAACGTTGCGGTAATTTAAAAAAAATCTTTTCGCGGTGCAGAGCTGCAACGTGGAAATGTCTCTGAACGTGACCGCAGGTTAACATGTCGTGTTAATGTGCTGCATTTCAGTCACTGTTTCGACTGCACTTTATTTTTCACCACCGATGGGGAAACTCACTTGTTGCAGCTGTACAAATACAGGAAAGGGCACAAAAAAGAGAACAAATAAACTATAAATAGGAAGAGCTGAGAAATACAATACAGTAGAGCTACACACACACACACTATATACACTATAGATCCATCCAATAGATGCTATGATTTAAATCAGATTTTTTATCAAGTGGTAAACTTAATAATTTAGGGTCCTTATAAAAGTGAAATTCATCGTGTCCACGCTTCACAACATTGATATCATATTTAGAGGGAATCATGTTGGTTAGAAAAGTGTTCCTCCTTTCTGTCTGGTTCTTTAACTGAATGTTGTCTTTCAAACTTTAACTTGAGCGGTTAACATTTAAAATCACCTGCCGAGTATTGTGCAGCTCTCCCTTGTGCTGCCAAAACAGCTCTGATCTGTCAAAGCTTCCCAAAACCTCTGAAGGTGTCCTGTGGTACCAAGACGTACGTAGCAGATGCTATAAGTCCTGTGAAGTAAAACCTCCATCCACATTTCCAGTGCTTCCTACAGATGCTCTAGTGAACTGAGATCTGGGTAATTTAGAGGCCAAGTCAACACTTTGTTCCCCCGACCATTCTTGAACAATTTCTGCTGAGTGACAAATAGTCTTGCTGAAAGGGGCCATCAGGGAATACTGTTACTATGAAGAGGTGTGTGTGGTCTGATTCGACATCAGTTGTAAACATGAAATACGTAGCATTGCTGGCTTCATCAGTCTGTTAAGGTGGTGGCATTGTGACATTCAGTCATTAAAATAGCCAGACGGCTTTGTTCAGTTCAGAGCTCGACCTGAGGACAGCTGCTATCGAACAAATAATTCGACTGCAGCTGATTAACTGTGTTTAACAGCTCACCTGTCTAAAGGTAAAGAAAAGCCACGGTGTGACTTGCAGTTGGGTTCTGTCCCAGACTGACATTGTCTCTATGTGAGAAATAATTTAGAATTACGAATAATTAATGCAGTTACCGGAGCTGTTGTTCTACGTGCATGAATGCCAGCTGTTGTCTCACTTTGGAAACACGTATAGGGATCCTGCTGCTGTCTGATCTTTGATAGAGTCAGAGGAAAGACTCCTAGAAACAGCTGAAAGCAACAAGCTCCTGCTCATGCTTTAAAAAAAAACAAAAATCACATTACAGCAAAAATAAATTAGAAAGGCGTTTTGTGGTTTTTTGCAGCAAATTGTGTCTTTTGCTCTCGGTGATGTTTTGGGACCAATATTACTGTCACTTGTGTGTGTCTGTCTGATAATGCGATGGCAGTTATGCAGAAATGCTACTAAGTCCAGCCTCGCAAGATTGCTGTTCCAAATTTTCCGTAAATGTGCGCTGGGTGTTCGTTCAGACAAGAAGTTGAAACGCTCAGTCGCTGTCAGATTAATGGAAAGGAGTTCATATCTGAAAGGGGATGATGTGTAGGTTGGCAGTACATGTGAACGTAATATTCACATGAATGCAAGGTTTGGCGGCAGAACGTTGCCCACACTGCTTTCGCCAACTTGCCTTCTTCCCGTAGCGCATCCTGTTGCCATCTCTTCTGGTAACGATGCACATACACCAGGCCGTATACATGAAAACATGGCTAATCAGACCAGGCCATCTTCTTTCATTGCATTATTCAAGGAACTTTATTTGTCATGCTAGCTCACATCCACGTTATGAAATTTGTACTCTGGTCCTGTTTTTTTTTTTTTTTTTTTCTTAAAAGAAAAAGCCTAATAAATAATAAGTATAATAAAACAAGAGCAAAATATAAGTAAAATACAGCAATAGAGTTTGGTAAAAAAAAATATAATGGTCCAGTTCTGACGCTCATTTGCCAATTGTCGGTGCTTTCAGTGGCAGGCAGGTGTTAACCTCGGCAGTCTGGCCAATTTGCGGCGACGAGCAAAGAGCTCGGGCTGGGATGTGATTTCTGCTGTAAGGTTTTCAGCTATTTGTGTTACGGTAGCTCTTGTGCAGGCTCGGACTGCGTGGGCCACATATCAATGAGCTGTGGGTGTCCGTGACCCTGTGCGTGGTTCACAAGATGTCCTTCTTTGGACCACTTTTGGTTAGTGTGAACCAGTGCATACAGGGAAAACCCAACAAGACTGGCTGTTGTGGAGATGCTCTGACCCAGTCGACCAGCCTTTACAATTTGTGTAGCTGCTCAGATCCTTGTGCTGCACATTTTTTACTGCTTCCAACACATCAACTTTCAGAATTGACTGTTCACTTGCTGCCTGATACATCCCACAACAAGACGTTATTTACATCACCTGTCAGTGCTGATAATGTTGTGGCTGATCAATACTAAACTTCCAGCATGTTGTTTTTTTCTTTTTTTTTCTTGGCTTTTATTCTATGCTGTGTGCGTTTTACATGCGTGATCTGTGTGTTTTTTTTAATCCCTAGGGTCCACAGTGCTGCTCAGATCTGGCAGTGTCATTCCATTACGTGGAAGCAGAGCTGATGTACGAGCTGGAATACTACACCTACCACCTGAGAGCGTATGGCTACTTGCCACGCTACCCCCCCTCCCTACGCCAGCGTCTGAACCTCAGCCCAGTCTCGCAGACGACCACGACGCTGGGACTTAAAGCAGTTCAGGAGGAGATGGACGGAAGGAGTCGCACAGCTGCTAACTTTTCTGTTAGTAAAAACCAAACCAAAGAGGAGAAGGAGCCAGAGAAGGACAACCTTATCTCAAAGCTCACTGAGAACAGGACTGTAGTCGCACATCACTGATTCGCTGTGCTGCAGTTCAGCTGAGGTTGAACATGTTTTAACTGTGTCTGTTCTACATTAGAATCTACATTTGGACACTTGTGGCTACTTTCACTCTGTGATAGGAGCTGCAGTAGAAAGCACAGACCGTTGCAGAGAAGTCTGTTACTGGTATATTGGTTAACGAGACTTTTCTTCTGACAGAGTTTCATTGAACTAATCACAGTTTATTCCAGCCAGTGTCACGCTTTCCACCCTCCCAGTGTGAATGGTCAAAACTTGAATATGATTCAGTGGTAGCTACATGTGACGTCGCTATTTTTAGACAACAAACACTTGATTTAGCTCGATTGTTTCTTGACATCATCAGCGTTTGGATTTAAGGTGGACTCTGGACACGACTACAGTGTGTCTGGAGTATCACCCAATCTGCAGTGAGATACAGTGTTAGATGTATGGAATGATTTCAGAATTTGTTTTATTATTTTAACCACTTTCATTTTTCATCAAATGGAGCACAGCAACATGTGGCATAACTTTAATATATTTACCCTTCATAACTTTGATATATTTAGCCTTTTTACTTTATGACCACCTTGATTTTCTAATGTGATTTTTTTATTTTTTATTTTTTGGAAGAAAAAAAAACGCAAACTTTTTAATTGCTTTAATCTTTTTTAAGTCTATGTCTTTGTTTGTGTTTTGCCTTTTTTAATTTCCTTTTTGATGTATTTGCAGCCCGATTATTAATGCAGACTTTAAATCCAGGGCCAGCAGTGATGCAGTGTTTGTTTCAGGAATAAAAGCAACAAAACTGTGCCGTGAAAATGTCATTTCTTTTTACCTTTGACTGACGTGAAATGCTTTGACGTAGGAGTGTGTACTTGAAACCCCGTGTGCTTCTCTTTGAGAACTCTACTGATGAACACAGCACAAAACTCCAACCAATCCCTCTTGTCAAACCATTTTATATAACCCAACAGTGTGACTGAATATTACCGTCTCCACTGGAGCCGAGCTTGAAGAATCACTCAGACAGCTATGGGGAAAATGCACCAATGTTTAAGTGAATAAATTATGTATAAAAATTATGTTTATTTTGAACTTTGAAGGAAAAGAATAACATGATAAAGAAATAGAATTTATCACATGTAATTATGCTTCGTCTTCAGATAAAACAAATACAATCTGCGTGGTTTACGGTCGTGTTCATAATCCAGTTGGCACGTGTACAGTGTGAATCACGTCTGTTTAGTCGTTTCCATCAGATATTTAGTTGGTTGTTTCTCTGTGATCTGCTGTCATCGTGGCAACACGACAGTTGTTTCAGCAGGAACGTCTACAGCCCCTGAAGTAACCTGCAACAAAACACATGCACAGCTTATAAGCGATATTCCTCGTGCATTTTACGTGTGTGAAATCAATCATCATGTGCACGGTAAAATGAAGTCCAACTACAGATGTACTTCTTAGAAATGAGAAGCACACGGAGTCAGTAAACCTGATCAGCAGAAAACCTTCAGAAGCTCTACAGTCTGATACAGTTTTATTCTATATTAGACAGGTTAAGTGGTAGTTCTATTTTTCTAAGCAGTGGAGACCTGGTGATGCTCCATCTGCCGAGTGAACAAGAAGAAGAGGCACTCACCTCAGTCTGCACTTGTTGAAAAAGACGCCTCTCCTGTCTGGATACTCTCTCCTCCAGGGACCATTATCTGTGAGAGCAGAGATTACATCAAAGTCCCGTATAGCTATATTGTCCATATGACAAATGCCAGAAAATGTGAACGAGAGCACACACTCAAAACAATCCTACTTGGGTATTTGACACACTCACCAGACTCCGAGTTTCTCCTTCCCATAAGACCAACAAAGATGTCATGCATTTCTCCTAACAGAAAGAATAACAACAACAATGTAGTATTTTATGACAAATTCAAATGCTTTAAAGAAAGCAATCACTTAATCACGTTAGTAAATGACAAAGGTCTTACTCTTTTGTGGCGACTGTACAGCATTTTCCTCTGAAAAATAACAACATAAAAGGAATGTTTGTGAAAAAGAAATCACAGGAGCTTTGAAGAACACAAATTCATATAAGAACGACTGTGAACACATTATTAATTCTAAAAAGGGGCCAGAATTTGCAACATATAGTGTTTTCGTTAGTTTATCACTATTAATATTACTGCTAATATTAGTAATGGAAACTTCTTCATGTCATCAGTGGGGTACGCTGGTGAAATAAAGACTCACCGGCATTTCTTCTGCCCATCAGACCCACAAAGCTGTCGTAATCCAAGTCGCTGTACCGCTTCAGAATGTTCCGCTTGAGGTTGTCCATGCCAACCGTCTGCTGCAATTATGAGAAGAAGAAAAAAAAAAACAGTTTCTTTGAATATCAGATATTCTGAAAATCCGGTTCGTTATTACGGGAAAACCTACGTCTGAAGTTGATCTGCGCGATCCGGACTCTTCGCATCTTGACTGGCTGCAGCGAAGTTTCATGATGAGGAACAAAGTCACCAGGAGAAAACCTGTTCTCATTTTCTCAGCACCGCCTGTGTGGTAGTATTTACAGTTATTTATTTTATTTTATTTTTTTTAGGTTGATTCTTTAACTACATGGCAATTTTATAAGGAAACCATTTGTACCTGTTGCGCATAACTGGTGCGTAACTGGTGCGTAAAAACGCACCGTTTAAGGCTTACAAAGATATCCATATTGAATTTTTTTTTTTTTTTTAATCAAAAGCAGCAAACTTGTTTTGATTACATATATCTACCCAAGACAGAAAGAAAATACACAGACAGTCTTTCCACAAAGTATTCTTGCGTTTCCTTACCAAATAGCCACGGCAAAACTTTAAATCCACTTCTTCAAACATCAAGTTGAAAACAAATAGAAACGTTAACATTTTAAATGTGCATTTTCTTTATCCTTACCTGTCTTCTGTCGAGCAGAAAATGTAGTAAAGGACTCAGCTGCGTGTGCCCGAGTGAAGAGTGGAGTGGAAACAGATAGATCCTGCAGCGAGATCCAGTCTGGATAAATGAGGCGTCCACGCTTTGGGGGTAATAAATAATCGCTGGATACCTGCGTAGCGCCAATCAGCAGCTGGAGCGTAGGTGGGGTATCGGGTCTTATATCACGTTGTACTGAAGACTACGCAGAGTCCTCATTGATGGTCATGATGCTGCTGAGAGCTTTTGCCCCCCCTTCCCCCCCATCAAACACGCACACACGCCATAAAAAAATAAAATAAAAGTCCAGGCTACGTGACGAGGATAAAGGTTGGACTCAATACCATGTCTGATGATAACTGGGATTTTTTTCTTAAAGACTCTAATCTTAGTTGGTCTTGACTAAAGATAGAATAAACCTGAACACAAATAAACAACCTGAGCTTGTGTGTTCAACGTGTCTCATTTATCATTTCCAGCAGGCTCACATGTTTGGCATTTGGCCTTTCCTCTCCATTCACCAACCTAACCTTTTTTTTTAGGACACAGTTACAGCCACAGCAGCCGCCTTTGCAGGTTTTGCCAAAAAATCTCACTTATAATGTAGAATGTTTTAATTAAATGCACAATAAAACAAAAAAAATCATGTTAATATCATCAAGAAGTCAGGCAGTGAACATAATCATTTTGAACAGATGAGCTGGTATTTGGACAGACACTTCTTCATACCAGTATTGACACAATGAGTATCACGTGAATCATAGAGTCACTTGAAATTGTTTTCATGGCTGTTAAATTCTCTGTTAAATGGCTCTGACAGGTGGCGAGATGAAATGTCCATCTTGTTACTTGTACAAGTACCCACTGTGCGACACTTCTTTACCCTTTTACATGTTTTTGTAGCTCTCCCACTGCAGTGAATGTTTCATCTGACAACAAAACAGCCACAAACTAGGGAAAAAAACATTTAGTATTCATGTTAATCTTGAAAACATATTTATGTGTATCATGAAAAAACAGCCTTTTCCCTTCATCACCGGCAGCTGAAAACAACTCAGATTTAGTGCTTATACCAAACCTATCATTTTTCTTGCAATTACACAAGCAATTACACTTGTGTTGCTGTTTGTGTGCCCATTTAGAATGCAAACAAGCATGAATATTTCAATAAGTCAAAGTTTTAGATCAGAGCTATAAAACAGGCAGGAGGCACTACAGCAGATGTCACACGCTGTGGCCTCTGGAGATTTAAGCCAGATCGAAGAGGGTGTGACACCAGCAACAAAGCACCAGGCCACGATTCAAATGGTGCATTTCACAAAAAGGTTAACAGCTATGTTTTAGCAATGACTTCCCATTTCCATATTGGTCCCGTTCCCGTATACGTGATGATGTGATGTGGAGGTGAGGGGGGATGTGACAGAGGTGGGGAAGTCATTAATGACACTTTTACATTATTGATGAGTGTTTTTTTTTTCTTATCTCCCCTGGTAATCAAAGCGATCGGGGTTCTGGAGCAACATAGAGCACAGGGACATAGTGCCAGGGGCTGTTTATCCAGAACATACCGTTGCAGGGTAAACTTTTTACATAACTGAATACGTACATGTGCTGTAGGATTACAAGGACATCCTGGTCTGCAGACTGACACGCACCCTCTGCTGTATGGCGTTCAGATGTCGCCCTTTTTCTTCCACCAAACTCAAAATCAAATCTTTTTTGTTTTTCATTCTCCTTATGTATGAGCTCCCCTCAGAGCTGCGGACAGCTGTGGAGGTGTTTGGACAATCTCTCACCCTGACAGGTCAGCAGGGACGCTCACGGTTGGCTCAGTAACAGCAGGTAGCCTGTGGTGGCTATAGGGGGACCAGCATGCAAAAGAAAAAAGACATAGTTCAGCCCCATGCTGAGATCATTTAATATTAATGTGTATAAAAGACTGTTTCAAGTCAGGTTTGCGTCAATGTGATGTTTACTGCTTATCAGAGTGACACTCAGTGGCGAAACAGTTGGCCACATTTAATGTCTCTTTGCAACGGTTAAGTGTCGGAAAAAGTTCATGAACATCTTGCTTCGTCATTTTCTTCCGTTTTGATGTTTCTCAGACATTTATCTCTGTGTGTATAAATAGCATAAATAACTCGTGAAATGTCATCATCTTTGTCCGTATAGAATTTTCTCTTGACTTGATGGCTATGCATAAAAGAAGCTTTTCCAAAAAAAAAAAGAAAAAGGATGAAGGCAACGATGTGCGGGTCAGGCGAGAGGAGGTGGAGGAAGAACTATCTTCTGTTGCTGTAGCAGCAGATGAGTCAGGATGTGACAGGGCCGCTGCCTCATCTACCAGCTGGGTGAAGAAGAGGGTTCTTTAGCTGCCTAACTAGTCAGGCTCAGTGGTTCTCAAATGTTTTTGTCAGAAGGGACAGCATTTATGAAGACAGTTAGTTACAGGGCACACCTTTACATATGAAAATAGCTGCGTAAAATCTTCATTTAAATAATTTCAGCGACACAGTTTGGCCTAGAAAGTTTGTATTCACTGTGAGGTTCATGTGGAACATAAGCTAAGAAAAGAAAGAGGGATGACCTTGCTTTGCTTAGAGTGCAGTGTCTCACATTAATGTCAATTTTACTCTGAAGTAACTTGAAAATGTTATCAGGCTAAAAACTATAGATTTTTGAGCTGGACTAAGCTCCGAATGCTTTAAGGTCCTAACAGCACCTCTAGTGGAACCCATCAGTGAATCGGAGAGGGAAAATTTCGAAAAAGCACAAAGTAAGACAGAAAAATATAGATTCTGTGCGTGTGTGTCTCTACAATGTATAAGACTGTTTGGTAGTTCAATTTGTTTAGAAGTCCATAAGATACATAAGAACACAGGTTTATTCCTGTGTGTAATCGTGCATCCGGTGGAGGAGAGCGGCAGCAGACAAAGCCTGCAGTCCAGCCATGCTCTTATTCCTCTCCTGTCTCTCTAATGGAGCTGCCAATCATCCATTTGTTGCAGGCTTTCATGAGCCTGAGAGGGAAAAGATAAAGTAAGTTCCAGCCTGGAGTTGAGAGGGGACAGTGACGCCACAGCCCTTATATGGGAGAGATGTTATGAAATAATGAGAGAGACAGAAGAGCAGAGAGTGAGACTGCACAGATGTGTGAGAAAAGTGAAGGGTATAGATTTAGCTTGACTTGTACACAGACTGGGTGGATGCACAACTGAAAACCTCTGGCCAGTAAGTCCAAAGGGGATTCTTCATGTGTGAACACCGTCACAGAAGAAACTGTCCTTCACACACTCAGCAGCCGTCCCTGCTGGTTGCTGTTGCTTGTGGCGACGTGGAGGCTAAAATAAGCAGATCTAGATGATTCCAGGCCTCTCCACGGTAGATCATAAGACACACCTGTCAATAATTGAGTTAATGGGCTCTAATCTAATGGAGGAATTTAACTTGGAGTCCACTTTATACTTCTCCTTGGGGGCATGCAAAATGGCTTTGATGGATGCAGTTTTTTTATTGCATCCACTCCTCCCTGATCTCTGACTTGCGAGGTCCACAAGTGTCACTTCCATCTAAATGTTAATTTGAAGGCTCCTTCTTTTAAAACTGGCGTGGACACCGATGTGCTTTGAAGGTCTATTTGCATAAAACCACAATGGGTATGTGAAACTGTGAGCGGCTGTTTCTCTAAACCAAAACACATTACTTTTTTTTCCAGTGTTTTCCAGAAGTGTTGTTCTGCTTTCTGCTAGTCACAGGGTTTTTGTCCTCCTTAATCTTCTCTCAGTGACGATGGTCAGCACTGAGGCCTGTAGGAGGAAAATAAGATGCTGTGCTGCTGTTTAGGCTCTCGAAGCTCTCTTTTTTAGATTGTCAAACTTTTTTGGTCTGTCATAAAACACTATTGCCTATTTTCTACCCATCATGCGGTGAGAATACTCAAGAAGACACATCTCATCACTGACACAATCAAAGTCTTGCACGCTGTGTCCTGCCAACATCCTTTTATTTCAAATGGGTTCAATCAGATGCTTGAGTTGCAGAAAAATGTTTTCTATCATGAAGAGGTGCAGGATTATAAATGAGACAAACTCGGGGCATTCTAAGTTTGTTGTAGGATTTTTGTTTATTGCCAAAAGCTCTGCTTTTTAAAGTGACAGTGTATTATTAGACAGTCATTTACGAGAATTTTCATCCGCAGTGGGTGTTAAATGCCTCCATTTATCTGCTATCGGGTGAGAGGCATCAGTTGCTTCATGCTAGATTTATTTCCTCTGCCATTTGGTCATTACTCCGCTGCCAGCTTTCCAAACCTTTTAGCTACTACTGTTACCACTCACAGCTTTGTTTTTGCATTCATTTTGAATATTGCCAGTGAGTATTTAAATCACTGTATCCCAGCATGTTTTCACCCCCCCACATCTATGAAATTGCTCAGCTAGATCAGAAATCTGAGAGTGAAGCCACAGACAGCACTTTGACACCAGTCGCAGTGGAGTGAAGGAAAAGTAAAGAAACAAAGGAATACTGTCTGGCTGTGACTGTGGGGCTGTTGTGCTGACTAGAACATACTAGCGTAGCGACTTAGCAGGGAACTCTTTCATAGAAAATGTCTTCCCTTTGAGTGTTGTATCCTGGCTTCAATATCTGACTGTTAAAAACAAAACTCAGCTCTCCAGGGGAATCAACCTTGGCAGTGCCACTTTATGCTGCAAACAGCATCAACTGTCTTATCAGCATAGCAAATTCCTTTAAAGATTTACTCATGAAATCTTAAGGTTTTTATCCCATCTCCACTTTTGGCAGAGAGGTATACAGTTCCTTGTGAGAAGACTAGCATCCATAAAAAATACTTTTCCTTTTGTTATTAATTTGTACTTTTCTTTGAGCTAAACTGAACAAAACAATCTGAATTATAAGGGATCTGTAATCGCCACTTCTATTTTGCTGGTCTAATTTTTTTAGATGTCAATGTGACCTTTGGCCTTTGAAAATCAGTTTTGTTATTGTGCCTGTGAATTTAGGGACAGTAACACAAGACACCATACAGGTGGAC